TGTAGTCGACTAACTAGGAATTTCTTGATGAAACTGCAAGAAATGGCTAAATCACTAACTAATTCCTATTCAATTCACATATTTCAATGATTTTGGGATCAAATAGTTCCCACTATAAATCCCACTATGAATAAAATAAATTGATGGGGTATGCGTTTATAGGACTACATTTTTCATGTATCAATATTCTTGAGGTGGTTTACAGTTTCTGGAAGAAAACTTTTTTTAAAGAAATGATATGCCCCTGGTATGCTCAGTTCTCAAAAGGAAACAACAACCAGCACACAAGTTTACATACATTTAAAAGCTGCGAGATCTAGTGCACTTCTATTGCACAATCAGGTAAGAAGTATAGCTTTCACAATAAACGCAGTCATTAAATCATCAGTCTGTTTTATTAGGTGAAAGCACACTGTGTGGACAGTTATTAATAAAAGCCACTCCTGTGAGACCAAACTGACAGAGATTTCCTGCAGCTCAGGGCATGGGCGTTTCAGACCATGTTTCCCTCCTCCTCCACATAGTGTAATTTCTGCCTGTACCAAACAATACATCAGCTTAATCACCTTTCTTTTGATACAAAATACCATCACAACAGCAGGAAGAAAGAGGAAAAATGTTTCTTCTGAAATACAGGCAGGTCTCACAGATGACAGGTTATGGCACACACTGCGCACAAAGCCGAAGAGTACAAGCACCAGGCGCATGCTATTATGGCGGGGAATCATCTCTCCTGACAGTTCAGCGTGAAGGGAAAGATCTAGTGCCGCTGTTGAGGTGAAAAAGTGTGACATGCCTCTATGCCCACTGCATGTAAACATTTCCTTTCAGTGCATATTGACTAAATATAAATGTACATACAAAATACATTATTATTCACTATTATTTCTCTCTACTCAGAGCTAGATGCTATACTAAAACATAGACAACTTATTACACTTCCATTACGCTGATATAAGATTAACATTGGATGGACGGGGTGTGAGCCACTGGATACCAAGTAATTTTACCCACTGCTGAGACAAGATCCCATTCAAATTGAAACACTATCAAACAGCCTGACCTCCACTGACCCCTAAAGCCTGCGGATAATGTAGACTTTGAGGGCTGCACAATGCAACAAAAGACACAGATAGAGCGTCAGCCTGGATACATAACCAGGAATTCTAGAAAGAAAGTTTTCTAATGGAGAAGTGGTTAATGCTCAGCAAATACTGAAACCCAACATCACATGCAGAGAAGTAATCAAAGGGCTCGTGATGGCAGAGCTTTGTAACCTGACCTCACCAGTTCAAGGTCTAAGTGGTTGTTAAGGGAAATCAAAATGCCTGCAATTGGAAGCAGAGGAAGCCATCAAAGATACTACAGAGAAAATCGGACGAATTGATGCTTGTTTAGACATGTAAAAGCAAATGCATGTTGCCATGAGATACACAAAGCAGGATACGTGCAATGTTAAAAAGAAGAAGTTAAGGAAAGTTTTTTTTAGCAGTATTTATCTATCAAAAGATGACAGCTGTTGCAATTTGATATCAAGCTATTACTAAATGCTACATTGCTTATGCCCGTAAAGTGAGGTATAACCAAGAATCTTTGTACTGTAGTATAATAAATTGTTGCTTGTAGTGTGCTTATAGTTGCATGTTTGAAATTAACATAACAATTAATAATAACAATAATAATAATACATATAAACTATATATATATATATATATACATATACATACATACATACACACACATATATATATTTATAGTACAAAACTTCTTGAAATATAGTTTTGGTTAGTACACTATTCTTCAGTGCATTAAACAGCTACTTAAAGTGCATTTGGTGTCAACATTACGGTTTCCCAAATTCCGGCCTCTTAACAAGTAGGCATTTATAAACAACCTTTTGATCACTGCCCATTACTTCATTTGCTCTGGTGAAGTCTCCCAGTGAACAGACGGTGAATAAGTCAGGAATGAGTCATAAGCACTCAATAAAAATAATACCCTCATTTTACTTTCTCAGGGAAAAACATCTCCTCAAAAGTATTCTTTAGGGGCTCTTAATGTGTGATTTATGTAGCAGAAAAAATGTGACCACTCAGCTGTTTGGTTTCCACATTCACAGACCAGTGCACATAACTTTGATGAACAATTTTAGTCGAAAATGACAATAATCAAAAGTATAAGAACATGAAAGTCGTTCACAATTGGAAAAAAATGAGAATTTGTTATTACTGCTGTTGTTGTTGTTTTAATGGAAATCATGATGTAGATTGAAGGTCAGAAAGAACCTTTATATAGAAGTAGTTTGTCATTTGAAAATAACAAGTGTCAGCCATAATAAAGCCATGTGGAGGACAGTCCAAGCCAAGCTAGCTTTTATCCAGAAATGTTGACGAAAGAACACGGTAAAAAGTAAAGAGCACAAAGACTACCACCAAGTTAGCCCAGCAGCTGCTAACGTGAGCTAATGACAATGGCTGAAGGGTTTGCATTATTCCCTAGCACAAACTAGTGAGTGAGCATAATGGAGAATAGGCACCAAGTGAGTGACAAAGTTAACGACAAGCAAGTAAACAAACGTCCTGATAAAATACAACTATGCAATGTTGTGCTTTATGCTAACCGGTGAATTATTTGTGCCCTGATATTGCTCCTCGCCTTTCCCCAATCAGTGCTAGTCACTAAAGCTAGCCGCTAACGTTACTCCACAGTAACCAGTAGCAACCAAGTCTATTAGCATTCTATTAGCCAACCAGCTAGCCAATGCTAATGGGAAAATTAGCCAAATAGCTACCAGGCTATGAATGGCGTTAACACTTGTATCTTTACAAACATTGAACCAATAACAGCATTTCTCAGGCGTTTGCACGCCAATGTAAAAAGCAAAATGTAGCTTTCAGTAGCTCACAGGACTTACCTTAAAGGGCTTGATCTACAACATCTGTGATTTGTTTGATGAGAGGCTGCAACAACAAACAAAAGCAGCAGTAGGGGCAATTAGCCAAAGCCAAGTGTCGCCAGCACAACTGCAGTGCCACCTGTATGTGGGTTCTGATGGAGCTACGGCGAGGCAAAACACGTTTGATATAATGCTGTCATAAATGATGGAGTTGAGGATAAAGAGGGAGTAATCGGTGCCGGGATGCTCAGACTAGTGTGTGAGAGGCACTCGGCATGACAGCATCCTCCTTCATCTTGGGGTGAGAGCGGTTTGGGGGATCTGAAAGTTCAGCCGGTAAAATATCGTCACCCACTGGACAAAATAGGGAACATCTACTGAGCTGCAAAATATGAATGAGACTGAAACTTTTTAAAATTCTTACCAAATGAATAATTATCGAACAATCTTTAACATGTTTTTATGTATGTATTGTTAGAATTACTATCAAACATTCTAAGCGGTGTATTTAGAGAGCACATTTTGTCTAGCTATTATGTTCATTAGTTACAAGTTAGCTGTATTGCATCTCTGCACTGAAGAATATACAGTAACATGCCCCGTTTTTGTGACAAGTATGAACACATTTTTATTATGGTGCATTAATCCTACCATGAAAGGGGGAAAAATGGAATCACCCTGTATGTGTAAATGCTACCATTTAAAATGCAATATTTAATTCCTGTAATCATTAATACAAAAGCATGGTTTATAATTTATATATATGAAAAACGTCCAACACATAAAAAGGCATTTAATTGTGTGTTGTCATGTACTTTTCCAAACACGAGAGGGCGCAAATGTCAAAGAAAAAAATCTCTGAACTGAAGTATTCATATCTCATGCGTAGTTCACGCTCGAGTTTATCTCTTGTATTGTCGAAGCACAACACATGGGCCAATAGTACTCGACGGGTCAACCCTTGCATGTACATAATGGAGAATTTGTTGCTGTGATTTGTTACACATCTACTTGGTGATGGCTGAACAATAGTTGGTGGTTGAGACGGGCTTATTCAAAGTGATTGGTACGGCATAGGCCCAGCTAGCTGGCAGTCCCCCGTGGTGCCATAGCTCTGCTGAATGGGGCGTCATTTATCTTGGCAAAGCGCTGCCAGAGGGAACTGCTGGATTCTTTTACCCAGGGGGACAGAAATGGTGTCCCGTAGCAGCGAGATCAAGTTGCTAGCTCTGTAGGACTCAAATTACATCAACCATATTCAACTGTAGGGTTCCTAGTATTCTAAAATGTTTCACTAAGTAATGTTTATTTATACAGCGCATTTTACAGACCAAGGTCACCCAAAGCGCTTTACAATGTTCGGAGTTCAGATATTGTTCCAATCATTCCACACGGTGATGAAGCGAGTCGCCGAACACACTGGCGCATCTGCCCCCAATCAACACCATCCATTCACTCACTCATTTATACCTATTGTGCATGTTCTTAGTGGTAGGGAACCTAGAAACCTACGCAGACACGGGGAGAACATGCAAACTCCACTCAGCCCTGTTCCGACTGGGATTCGAACCCAGGACATTCTTGCTGAGAAGCAAGAGTGCTATCCACTCAGCCACCGTGCCACCAATAAGATAAATAAAATATAAAAGACTCGGAGCAGCACATATATCTTCCTTTTTAAAAGGAAATTAAAAAAGGGCACAACAAGATATTTAAACTATTGTTTAATAATACATACAGTGCCAATGCTTACAGCAACACAAGACCTTTTTGTATGGGACACATTGCACATAACTTTACTCTGACCACAGGAGCCAGAGCCGTCCTAAAGTTACAGTAGTTTAGATACTCTAGAGTACGCACAAAAAGCTCAACACAATTCTCTCACACAGTTATACGGACACAGACATTGGAACATAACAATTAGGACGCTTAAGCAGAGTTTGGGATGAGCTGAGGTGGCTGAACACCACAGACTTGGACCTTATAAGTGTTATTGTTTTAACCTTCTCTCTGTACGGGCAGTTGACCTAGCGTGGCATATATGTGTGGGGATCATTTATGAGCTCTGAACACACAGAGGCCCAGGTAGGAATAAATCAGCTCAGATGGGGTGCCTGAAGTTCTGGCCAGCAAAACGGGCCTTGGCTCCAAGTTCCTCTTCAATCCTGTAGGAAATGGGAGGATGTTATTACATATTTTTTGATGATGTGAAGTAAATGTCCTAGATATCATATGTGTGCCAATGTAGACCTTTATTTTAGCGTAATTGAATTGTAATTTTTGCTTATGCACACCTACAAAACACACTTCTACAAAATTATCACCACAATACATTACTGATTGGTGTGTAATCCTGGTAAATATTGTGATGAGTAAGTGCCAATTATTGACTTGCCTCAGAAGCTGATTGTACTTGGCCAAACGTTCAGATCGGCACGGTGCTCCGGTCTTGATCTATAAGTCAAAAAGTTATTTAGTTTGACACTGAGACATAATTGGATTACCATAAAGGTTTCATTGTAGTTTGTACCTGTCCAGTGCAGAGACCAACAACCAGATCAGCGATGAAGGTGTCCTCAGTCTCTCCAGAGCGGTGGCTGACCATCACACCCCACCCATTGCTCTGTGCCATCTTGCAGCTAACAAGATCATGAGAATGTTTCAGTTTCAGGCACAAGCTTTATAGGTTTGTGTGGACACTTACGCATTCAGAGACTCTGTGACGGAACCAATCTGGTTCACTTTGAGGAGCAGGCAGTTGCAGGCTTTATCTGTCACGGCTTTAGAAATACGTTTGGGGTTGGTGACAGTCAGGTCATCACCCACAACTTGGATACTGGTGGTGGCAGTAAAGTTGCTCCATGCTTGCCAGTCATCCTGGTCAAATGGATCCTCAATGGACACCACTGAAGAGCCATAAAAAGCGTATTTAATTTTACAAATACATTCATTTCTAAAATGTGGCCTTTGACATAATACCAGGATAATCTTTGACGAAGCCTTTGTACAGGTCTGCCAGCTGGTCAGGGGAGATGTAGCGACTAGGGTCATCTGGTGATTTGAAGTCCAGGTCGTATTTTCCATCTTTGTAAAACTCAGAGGCAGCCACATCCATGCCAATCACAATCTTGTCAGTGTAGCCTGCCTTGGCAATGGCATTCTTCAGTAGCTCCAGAGCTGAAACAGATATTTGTTTGAATCAAATCAGACATAAGACCTGACGACTATCCTATAATGACAAAAATATTATCATTTTATTCACTCCAGGACCGCTGTTAAAAAGGCAGTTGTAGCTTACTACCACTTGCACCACTGTGCTACACAAATTGAAATAATAAAATATAAGAATATTCACATACTGTTAGGCCATATTTTTATGGCCTGAAACTGACAGAAGCAAACAGAATGGAAGTGAGTCACCACTTAAGCTTGAAGTGCCTCATTGGGGCATTTGCCATATCAGCACCTTGTCCTGACACTGGAGTCAGGGGTGGCAGTCTAGTGAGGTTCTTTATTTAGAAACCATATGGCGGCTTCAGAGTGAGATGATAAGTAAAGTACTTATTGGAGGAGGTCTGTACAATATCACGGTTTTTGACTTTTCTCTGCTTTAAACATGATTACAATGCTATTTGGCCTTCATACACAAGCCCACAGTAGTTTATTCATTGATTCTGTCAATCTTTTGTAAGAGAGCAATCTGTCTCCTTCCCCAGCGTGAGGCACAGAAACGCTCGGGTCCACTTCAGTGACGAAAACCACACTGATGACGTGCATGACACCGTTTGCTTTGTATTTAAAATAGTTGTTAAATACTTTTGTCAAAACGGGGTAAACAATACACAATTAGTATGCTGTTTTTTGTCAAAAATAATAAAAATAAAAATAAATTAAAAGCCGGCGGGAGGTGATTGACGGATCAAAACAGCGAATCAGAGCGCACAGGCTCCGGCTCCCGAGTCCAGCGTCTGTGGTCTGGTCTCCGGAAACCACATAGAGCTGCTGTTTTTATGCTTTTGTCAGCAAGGATTTTGTCAGTTAGGATCACGTCAACTTGAATGAAGTGTGTTATGGGTGTAAATATGTGACACACTATTTGGCCCTAAGAGGAAGAAAGCGGCTCAACTTTTTTCATCTGTTCATCTCATGAATCTATTATAATACCGGTTCATCTGCGACACTTCACTGAGACTGTTCCAGAACTACAGGGACAATGGAACTGGACTTATTCAAAAGCTGATCTGGAAACACGTTATTCCCACGGTAAAAGACGTAACTCGGACCCCCTCGATCTGTAAGTAGTGACGCTAACTCGCTGTATACTTCTGTAAACTAAATAACTAGGGTCTGATTGTGCATCGAGGACATAGGGCTCAATGTGACGGATTGTCATTGTTGGAAAAAGTGTATTCTTATGTATGAAATTACTAAGTACAGGTGATAAACGACAAAAGCGTGATGCTACGTCACCGTGCGGGCGGGGGGAGGCGGGCTCACAGGCAGAGGAACAGACTCTTCTCTGGATCAGCTCGTTTGAGTCGAGGTGACGTCACCTCTATACAAGAGATGGCTCTAATCTAACAAGCTTTGATTGTTGTGTGGTGTATCATACACATTAATATCACACATGTGCATAGGATTGAGTGTGAAACATGAAGAAAAGCGTGATATAGGACCTTTAAACGGTTGGCAGGTCCCCTGGTGTAATTTATAAGTTTGACAGTATAACATCCCCTGCTGTCTGCTCACCTTCTTTGTTCTCAAGAATGTTTGGAGCAAAGCCACCCTCATCTCCGACATTGGTGGCATCCTTTCCATATTTCTCCTTGATGACATTCTTGAGGTTGTGGTAGACTTCAGCACCGATGCGCATGGCATCTTTGAAGCAGCTAGCTCCAACAGGTAGAATCATGAACTCCTGCATGGCCAGCTTGTTGCCCGCATGAGAGCCTCCATTGATGACATTGAAAGCCTAGATGGATTAAAGGAGTCTGTTAAATATGACAGGTTTAGTGCCAGTGTTTCTGTGACTAAAATAATTATACTCACAGGAACAGGGAGGATGACTTCAGGATTACCAGCCAGGTCAGCAATATGGCGGTACAGAGGCACACCCTTTTCTGCTGCACCAGCCTTGCACACAGCCAGGGACACTCCCAGGATGGCATTAGCACCAAACTTGGCTAATGGAGGAGGATATACAATCATTCACTCAGATTTGCTGCCACCAAAATAATTGTCTGTATCATTTGCGATTGTTTATAAGTTAGATATCATAAGAGAATTACCTTTAATTAAAGATGGTATACCCGATTTTTTTTCATGAGTTAATAAAAATGCTTATTACTACATACAAGTTGTATTATAATCCGTAATTTAATTGAAAACCTGAGCTCATTGATTCAGCTTGTGTATGAATTCAGGCCGTAAAAAGTGCTGAGTAGAGACTTAACGTGACGCTCGTTCTCCTCCACTCACAGAACAAGGAGCGTCCTCTAGCCTCTACAGCGCTGCTAAGCACAGTAGCATGTTATTAGAATTGGCTATACCTCCTCTTGCTGTCACTGCATACACAGCAAAACAGCCTAAACGACACAACAGTGAGGAAAGAAGGAACTAAAGCGAAAAAATGATCAAAGAAGAAATCAAGCCCAGGTGAACATAGCTAGCTTACATTGTATCCTCTGAAGGGACTTGTCTATGGGAGAGACCTGCGGGACTGCCTCGGACTATCTATGCTCGGACTAAATTCGGACACGGAACTAGCGGTAATCTTTCAGTTATATATTGTGTTAGTGCGTTGCTTTTGTACCATTTCATCAGTGATTGTTGGACAGCTCACAAGAAGTTGCGCTCATGCTAATGTTAGCATACATATCAGATCGCAAATACAACTAGATGGCTCCGTGGAATGAGAGCGCAGGGGAAATGAGAAGCCTCTGAGCGAGTTGAGGGGCGGTGCTAAACATTCAAACCTTGCAGAAACGGGTATAGCTCCTTTAACAGCTGGTGGTAATTTAGCATTGTATTGTACCAACTACTGTTATATAATATTGGGAGACTTACACTTGTTTTCAGTTCCATCCATTTGCAACATCAGGTTGTCGACCTTCTCCTGCTCTAGAACACTCACGTTCTGTGAAACAAGGTTTATAATTTACACATAGTATTTAATATTTAGGGTTATAAGATACCCTAAAATATACTACAATGAAGCCTGTTATACACACACACACACACACAAAATCTAGTTCATCTGAAAGACATCCCCATGCTATAATGTAATTGAATTAGTTTACATAGTGAGACAAGCACTATATTAGCCAAACGATGAACTGTCCTACCTTGTTAACCAGTGCAGGTGCAATAGTTTTATTGATATGCTCAACAGCTTTAGAGACACCTGCAAAGGACAAGCAGACCATAACTGACAGAGACCAAGAAGTCCATGCAGAGCAGTCGGGAGGCGAGATGAGCAGCAATATTATATGGACATAATACTGCAATATTGTGTAAAATTCACATTGATGACCATGTACCAGATTTTTTTTCATGTAATTGCACTTTTTCACTTATTTTTTATTGCATAATCTATTCATACTTGTGTCAGGGAAATTGATCTCTTGGTAACATTTACAATTGCCTCTGAACTCGGTTGATCAACTCATCAGGATTACGTAAGGATACATGATTCGAATGCACACAAATGGTGCAAAAAAAGGTTAAAGATGAAGACGCTAATATTAAGTTACGCAGATATTAGACTTTTCAGCATTTCACAAAAGGTCTGAACATTGGTTAGGCTGGCCAGGGTTAGTTTCCAAACAAACGCATTCTTCATGCTGTTCACTGCAACCGGAGTTTGTTATTGCATACATAATTTACCTGATCACACAAAGCTGGGGCCAAGAACTCATTTATATATTTAACTGCCCTTTTGACCCCTACCAACAGGAATGATACAAGCACAGTGGTGAGTTTTGAGACCCAGTTGATAGAAATAACAGTGTTGACAAGTCAGGGAAGATAAAAGTATTACAAATTGTCCAGAGTCTCACCTTTGCCCATGTAGCGTGTTTTGTCATTGTCACGCAACTCCAAGGCCTCGTAGATGCCAGTGGAAGCTCCACTGGGCACTGCAGCCCTGAAAAGACCTAAAAAAAAAAACATTATATGTTAGAGAGAACAAACTAAAGGATTTTCAATGAATTCCCATAAAATAACAAGCTTTGACATGTTTTTAATCACAAGTTGTATTCTGCCCAACAAGAGACTCAACTCTTTGTTGCCGAGACCACCACAAGCGTCTCACTCATCCAATTGATTATATCATCTACTAGAGAGGGCCGCTGCAGCAGAGGGCTGTGATGTAACACAGAGCGACAGCTGTGAACTATGTGTGTGTAGAATCTGCAGAGGGACCCAAACCACGCCTCTGGAAGAGTTTTTGAGATTCACCCAAATATGAAATCAAATGTGCATGACAGTGTCAACTGCTCACTGAAAAGTAAGAAATATATGGGGATTTAAACCTGATGAGATTTAGGATGTGACTGGAGGGTCAGATTCAGGTTATTATAACACTCTTGTTCTATGAAAAACATCAATAGTATAATAGTAGTTTTTATTCTAATCACATAATCAATGAGCAATACGTAGTGATCCAGACAAAGACATCTATAGAGCTCAAAACCTCATCAGTCAGTCACTGGCACAGAACGCATTGAGCTGCTCTGTAGCTGAGAGTGGATTACATAACACAAAGAGAGACTGAGTAATAACTATGGGAGGCACGTACTGCTACAAACTGGAATCAATCTGTGCTTTTAATGTTGCCACACTAATGCCACACTCTGAAACTAAAGGATGGTTTTCCTAAAATATGAAAAATGGTGCCATGTCAAACAAAGGCAGACAACCGACTTTCCACATTTTGTAGACAGTGCAGTCCATTTGCTTTGCTTCCATGTCACTGCACATTCAGGTTGGGTCATTAACATTCTGGGAGCATTTTATTGGGTCGAGCGGGTCTTTTGTTTTAGCTTTGAGCCTGAAAATCAGGCCCAATCAGGCAATTACTTAATAACATGCAACAACAGATCAATTGTAGGAAAAAGCAAATAATTAGCAATTCGGTAATAGAACAGCATATTAGTGACTTCAGGCTAAATTGATGACATCCTGCACGTCAGGCAAAGCAGTGATGTGCTTTATAAAATGCATGTTATGTCATGTTTTCCTCATAAAGCGCATTCAACTACTGTGCCACAGGGAGTCTGATCTTAACCACGGCATTTTCACTAACATTCAATCCTCTTGACTCATAGGATAGGTATCTAAAACGGAAGAGAAATAAGACCAAAATATTACCTTTCTTGGTGTAGAGATCGACTTCCACAGTGGGGTTACCACGGGAGTCAAAAATCTCACGAGCGTGAATCTTCAGGATGGACATGGCTCTGGATCTATTCAAAAACATAAAAGACTTTTAGCATTAGTGTAGTAGACTTTAACCAAAATTGTGTTTACAAAAATCCCGAGTGGCTGGATGACTTACTAAAAAGTGAAAGAGCTGGCAAGGGTGAAGTACTGCCTAAGTAATAAACACTTACTTGAGGGGTATACCCATATTCATTCAACAAAGTGGGCTGGGCCCTGGAGCATTTTAAAATCACAGAGAGGTGTGGCTTCTGCACCAAATGCACCCCTCCGTGTGGTCAGGTTACCAAATACAAAAAGTATTGTGACATTTTTACAAAATCCCACTATCAATGTTGAGCAAGATCTGTAGGTCTGCTGTCTGACTGAAATAAAAGAAAGTCCACACTGAGAACATTATGTTAGAATAATATTAAAGCTCATGTCTAGCCCTTTTGTTTTCTTATCATTGGGCCAATAGGGGGTTATGGCGAAAGGCAAATTCCTCTGTTGACGCTAAAGTACACAAGTACAACACACAATCAATTTATATTTGCTTTAGCAGAACCAATTTTGCCCCATGAACCCATATGAACAGATAGGCAATACGCTCAGTTATTGTGCACGAACTTGCTAAAGGTGATAGCTGTAAATGACAGAAACAACATTGTTTTAGCACATATGGATTGAATGAACTCACTTATATCTGGCCATCTGTGATTAAAGAATATAAAACCATAATTCATTTAATTAAGGGGCGACAGTAGCTCAGTTGGTAGAGCATTGGCCTTTGAGCCTGAAGGTCATGGGTTCGAGCCCACCTCAAGACCTACTTCACGACTCCCACTGATGACTGCTGTCGTTGTGTCCTTGGGCAAGACACTTAACCCCACTTTGCCTGAAGCCCCTGCTGAAAGATCTCAGCTCCTGTGGACTCACCACCTGCAGGAGGATCAGTGAGGGGCTGGTGCTCTGTGACTGGGTGCAGCTCTGACTGCCACCCCCCTGACCCAGAAATGGATTAAGGGAAAGAAAATGGATGGATGGAATTCATTTAATTAATGGTACTAGTATTATAGAATAGTAGAAGAGTATTTAAGTATTCATACTGTAAGGACAGCAACAGATTGGATGGAATATCCACATATCAAGTGTTCTGCAATTTGTTGTTTCTCCATTTATGTGGAGGCTGTGGAGGCTTTCCTCAGCCTGGTCTTGACAGGTCGCACACAGAGAGAAAAGTGCTTCAATTATTTTTCACTGATCAACAGTAACACAATACTGTCAAATGCATCATTATTAAAGCCAACACTTTAATTGAGCCCTTCCTTGGGAACATCTAGGTCTTCTAATAAATGTAAAGAGGAGCTTTCAGATTCATTGAATGACCCACACAATGCTGCAGAGAAAACAGAGTAATTTTCCTCTCAGTGGACACACCCCCAACACTGCACAAGCAACTGGTCCCTGCTCTGTCTAGTCTAGTGGCCTATGAAGCCCATGATGACACAGCGACACAAGAAATTGGCATCCACTGGCTTTAACACGAATTACGTCAAGTTTTTAGATGTATTTCACTGTAAGTGTATTTGAATCTTCTTCTTGGGGGTGCAACCTGACCCCTCTTCCCCACACAGTGCACTGCTCAAAATGGAGAGACATCTCGGCAGCTGACGTCTGGTTAAAAATAGCTAGTGGGCTACAAACTACTTCTCCACCCAGTTAGCCACAATCATCAACTAAGTACATGTTACAACCATAAACTTAGCAATAGAAGACGGAACTATTATTCTACATAACAAGGTCAAAGTCTGGCAGCTTACGGTTTGGATACACTGTTTAGGTTATTCTTCAAATATACACCGATCTTAACACCGATCTAAGCAGTTTGTAGAGAAAAAGTCAGTTTCGCGTTAATTTGTCAACATAGCGGTTATACAACAAAAGAGGAAACTTACCTTCAGGCCTTACTGTGTGCAAGGACGGTGCAGTGTCTCTTCCGTGCGGGCAGGCAGAGAAGGCGCTCGAGTTGCACTGTGCTCTTGGATAACTGGACAGAACCAGGAAGTAAAGACTGAATGAAGCAATCTGATTGGGTGATGTCTGTAATCGGAGCTCTGTGATTGGTTAAATCTTCTGTCACGACTCTTGCAGCATCTCCACTACAGCTGCCTCGAATGAATGACACGCGGAAGATGCCAACTTTCGCCTTCAGAAGTTCTAATGTATAACAATGCACACGTACACGGCGTTATGAAGAGGGTGATGTGTGGGATACTTGGTTTATTGCAGTGGTGTTAAGCTAAAACATGGGGAAATTTGGGAGATGACGTAGAGATGTGTACGTGCGGAGGAGCAGGGATCTCCTGAGCAGTGTGGCGCGATAGTGGTCACATGTCTTTGGTGGTCACGTTTTTGTACATGATGATGCACTATCTCAAATCCTGGAATTGAAAAAGAGCGAACGGCCAAACTACCATGCTGCAGAAACAATGTATGTCCTTCAATCAGGACGAGGTAAAGAGTTAGAAGTTACACATGTACTACCGCTATTCAATGTAGACCGACAGTTACTATGGCAACCTCTTCCATCCATTCGAGGACCAAGCGAAGCAAGCGAAAAGTCCTAATGACAAAGAACGAATAAATGTTATCTCTCTTTATATCGCATAATACATAAGCCGTAGCATTTATTTTGTAAACAGGAAGTTTAAACTATAATAGGGAATAAAGTAGGAGAAATGATTGTGCTGTGATAACACATGTCGCACATGTGCAGCTGCGCAGTAGCTTACAGTGTGTAGCATCCTTCCCTCATGAGGCCAGAGCATGGATGACCTTGACACAACCAGAAGGCTTAAATTCGATGTCGCCATCTGCTGCCCACATGTGCAACGTTCAGGCTGAATCTCCTTTTCAACAAGTGTCCCAAAATGTAAGTTTGGAGTGAAGTGGAGCAGCATATGAGAACTACCCGAAGTAATTGTTATAGTAATTTTGAATATTTTTTTTTTCGAACATAATTTGTTCTTCTGTTATTGCACTCAAGCAAGTAATAGAGTACCAGTTGCCAGTTTGTTCAGCAACCCAATATAGATAGATAGCTAGATAGACAGATAGATAGACTGCAAAAAATGATCAAATGAGATCATATTTGCTAGAATCGAGTTTTTTTAACTTGACTTCATTATGACTGTCTTAAAATGAGATTTGCCAATGAGACAAGCAATTTTGACTTGATTCAAGAACTATTGCTTTATTTTCTCATTCCAAGAGAGAAATATCTTGTATCTTTTTAAAACAAGATCATTTTTCTTGTTCCACTGGCAAATCTTGTTTTAAGGCAGTCAAAATGTGCTCATATTTAGATACATATAGCCAAATTTGAGCATTTTTTTGTCTTTAATTCTGTCATCTTTTGCAGATAGATACTTTATTGATCCCGTAGGAAAAATTCAGGTGTCCAGCAGCAGAAGACTCATCCGGGTCTGTTGTACAGTCTGACAGCCGAAGGAACAAAGGATGAGGATCTCTTGAAATTTCCGGTCAGCAGCGCAGTGATATAAGCCTGTTGCTTTGATTACTCCTCTGAGCGGCCATGGTGTCATGCAAAGTGTGTCTGGAGTTACCCAGGATGCCCTGCATTAGAGCCCTCATCCTTCTCTCCAGCACAGCTCCCACAGAGTCCACACTTCTCTCCATCACAGAGACACATTTCCTGATGAGCCTGTCGAGCCGTTTACTGTCTCTCGAGGTCAGACTGCCGCCCCAACACTTGACCCCAGCACCAGCTACCACAGACTGGTAAAATATGTGCAAAATCTGACTGCCCACATCAAAGGACCTCTCAGGAAGAACAGTCTGCTTTGACCTTTCATATTGACAACATTGGCCTGAGCTGACCATGTCCAGTCTATGGTCCAGGTGGACTCAAAGGTATTTGTATGACTGAACCACTTTGATGTCCTGTCCATTTAGGCAAGGCAAGGCAAGGCAAGGCAAGTTTATTTATATAGCACAATTCATACACAAGGCAATTCAAAGTGCTGAACAAAACAAGAAAGCATTAAAATCATAAATAATCACAGAACATTAAAAAGAAAGATACAAATATAAAATCCCTCAGTTGTATGCACAGCTAAACAGAACTGTCTTTAACCTGGCTTTAAACATTGTCAGAGAGGAGGCCTGTCTCACATCTCCAGGAAGACTGTTCCAGATTTTAGCAGCATGAATCTGAAAAGCAGCCTCCCCATGTTTAGTTCTGACTCTGGGCACTAACAGGAGTCCAGTCCCTGTGCTCCTCAGAGTCCGGGCTGGTTCATATGGGACTAACATGTCACTAATATATTTTGGTGCGAGGCCATGGAGAGACTTGTACACAAGCAGAGCTGTTTTAAAGTCTATTCTTTGAGCCACAGGAAGCCAGTGCAGAGACCTGAGGACTGGACTAATGTGGTCGTACTTCCTGGTTCTTGTCAGGACTCGAGCTGCTGCATTTTGAATGTACTGCAGCTGTTTTACAGCCTGTTTGGACAGACCTGTGAGCAGGCCATTGCAGTAGTCTAACCTACTGGAGACAAATGCATGGATAAGAATCTCCAAGTCTGCTTTAGACACTATGTTTTTGATCCTGGCAATGTTTTTTAGATGGTAAAAAGCTGCTGATGTTACTGATTTGATGTGGCTATTAAAATTTAAGTCTGAGTCCAGTATTACCCCTAGATTTCTGACCTTGTTTGAAGGTTTTAGGGAGAGAGACTGTAGGTGACAGATGACGCTCTCTCTTTGTTTCTGGGGACCAAAGACAATCATTTCAGTTTTGTCTGCGTTTAGCTGAAGGAAGTTGTTTTGCATCCACTCACTGATCTGTTGGATACAGTGAAGGAGTGAGTCCACTGGTCCATGTTCTCCTGCAGTCAGTGAGACATAGATCTGAGTGTCGTCTGCATAGTTATGATAGGAAACTTCGTTTCTGCGTATTAACTGACCTAACGGCAGCATGTAGAGATTGAACAGAAGAGGTCCCAGGATCGACCCCTGTGGTACTCCACAGGTCAGGGCCATATGATCTGAGACACAGTTTCCAATCTCCACAAAGTACTTCCTGTCCTCAAGGTAAGACCTAAACCAACTTAGGGCGGTGCCAGCGACTCCAACCCAGTCCTCTAATCTCTGTAAGAGGATCTCATGGTCGACGGTGTCAAAGGCAGCACTTAGATCTAACAAGATTAAGATTGAGACTTTGCCTGCGTCAGTGTTCAGCCGGATATCGTTTGTAACCTTGACGAGAGCAGTCTCAGTGCTGTGGTGGGGTCTAAAGCCGGACTGAAACATATCAAATGAGTTGTTGATTATAAGAAATCTAGTAAGCTGTAGGTAGACAACTTTTTCAAGGACTTTCCCCATAAATGGCAGATTTGAGATGGGACGATAGTTGTTAAGTACCGTAGCATCGAGACTGCTCTTTTTTAGCAGGGGCCTGATGACTGCAGTTTTCAGGGCCTTTGGGAATATTCCAGAATGAAGGGACATGTTTACTATCTGTGTGAGTGAAGGTAACAGACTGCTCAGAACAGACTTCAGAAATCTAGTGGGTAGTACATCCAAGCTGCATGTGGAGGCGCTCAGACTGGAGATTATCTCTTGGACAGTTTTATCATTTACAGGTGCAAAGTGAGTTAGCTCAGAGAGCCTTTCTGGCTGTTGGATGGTTATCTGTGGATTGGAGACAATGGCGTTTTTGATGCCTTGAACCTTGTCATTGAAAAAATTTGCAAACTCATTGCATTTACGTTTGGAAGTAGGCTCTAATGGCATTTGAACAGGGGGGTTTGTTAATCTATTAACTGTTGAAAACAGAACACGCAGATTGTTGCTGCAGCCTTCAATCATTTCAGAAAAATACCTTTCTCTCGTACTACGTAGCACCCGGTTAAACTCGCACAACTTATCTTTGAAGATCTCGTAATCAACCTGGAGGTTGGACTTGCGCCACTTCCGCTCGGCCCTCCGGCACTTTCTCTTTTGTGCCCTGACCGAGTCTGCTTTAGCCCACGGCGCCTTCTGCTTATTTTTCACTATTTTAACCTTCACAGGGGCAACGGTATCCAGAACATTCAAAACACTAGAGGTGACAGAGTTAAACAGTTCATCTACAGTAGAATACGATGCATTCTCAAAGTTTATCATTCCCATAAATAGTTCACTCGTATTTTCATTTATGTGTCTTCTTCGTACAGTTGCAGAGTCCACTGGTGGTTTGTTAGTGAAACACATGTCAAAAAAAACACAGAAATGATCCGAAAGAGCAACATCGACCACGTTTACATTTGAAATATTCACCCCCTTAGTAACTAACAGATCTAGAGTGTGCCCTCTGCTGTGGGTGGGGCCACTTACGTGCTGAGTGAGATCAAAGGATTCAAGTACAGAACTCAGCTCATTTGCATTTCTGTCATCAACATTATCCACATGAATATTAAAATCACCTGTAATAACCAAACTATCAAAATCTGTGCATACAACTGAAAGCAACTCAGTAAAATTATCAATAAAACTGTGACATGACTGCGGTGGCTTGTATAGGACAATGAAGAGTATTGGAGGAGATTGTTTTTGTTGTATTTTAAAAGACACATATTCAAAAGACGAAAACTTCCCAAGAGACATTCTATGGGAGACAAAGTGGTCTCTGAAAATGGCAGCTAAGCCTCCTCCTTTTTTGTTTTCCCGTATTTCAGATTCAAATTTGAAATTTGGTGGAGATGCTTCTATTAAAACTGCATTTCCTGAATTTTGGTCAAGCCAAGTTTCAGCCATGAACATAAGATCAAGATTATGAGAACAAATAAAATTATTGATTAAAAAAGACTTGTTACAAAGAGATCTGACATTAAGCGTAGCAAGTTTCAAAGTTTCAGTATCAGCGGTTGTGGTCGGCTGATTCTTACACGGAACAAGAATTAGATTTTCCAGATTAGACTTATTAACTCCAGATGTCTTTCTGTAATGTATTCTTTGTGTTATCACTACGGGAATGGCACAGGTGGCTTCATGACAGGGCCCCAGCCGGGTCTCTCCTCTAACTAGACTGCCAGTGGCTGCGAAGCAGAGACCCTGTGCATCCTAGTGTTTAGAGAAAAGAGGGGAAGGGGAAGGCGGGGGAGGAGGATGGAGAGGTGGGTGGCTTTTGGGTGTTGAACGAGGGGGGCAGGGAGGTGGAGGGGTTTTAGGTGATGGGTTAGGGCCGGGGTGGGCTGAGGCAGAGGTTTTGGATGTTGAACGAGGGGGAAGTTGGGGTGGAATGGTCATGAGGTTAGGGGAGGGACTGGCTGAGGTGGTTTTTGTAGGTGAATTGGAAACCCTAGGTGGTTTTGGAGGTACATATGGGGAGTGGTTTAGCATGTTGGACAGGACTCTAGATCTAGCTAATATGGGTGTGAGAGGAATAGTCTTCATCGCCGATTTTATTAGCCCTGCAGAGTGTTCAGGTAGGTCTAACAGTGAAGGCGGGGATGAAAAACAAAGGGACGTGTCCCCATTCTCTCTTGATGGAGTGGACGTGGCAGGGGGGACCCAAGACAGGTCCATGGGAGGTGGCGAGGGAGTCTTTGATGGAGGGGCAGGTGGTTGAGGAAACCCCAGCACAGGCCTGTCTGCTGTAGCCTGGGGTGAGGATGGGGGCTTCAGAGGCGCTGTAGAAGAAGAAGGCGTGGCTGCTTTGGAGCAGGCTAGGGATGAGGATGTTGGTGGTGGTGGTGGTCGTGCTGCTGGTGCTGCTACTGGTGATGATGCAGCTGCTTCTGATGACAGTGGAGGTGTTGAGATCCTTTGAGGCGGTGATGGTGTTGAGATCCTTCGAGGTGGTGGTGGTGTGACTGGTTGATGGGAAGGGCTCATGTGAAAGCAAGTGACCATGTGTCCTTGGTCTTGGACACATTGAGAATCAGACCATTGTAATACAGAGAGTTTGCGCCACTGGCTAAACTCCAGCATGGTTTACTTCACTCACCAATGGGAGCTACATCTGTCACAGGCAGGAAGATTCTGGTAACAAAAGTGTGATTGTTTTTGTAATTACATTATTAGACCACTAAAAGTACATACTGTGCATTAACATTATTTGACTGTATTATTGTTTTTAACACTATTCATTTCTCAGCTGCGAGTCAAAATCCCATAGAATCATGAGCTTTTATACGGTGTGTGTTTTCTAAACCAAATGTATAAAAAAAGATAATATAACACCTGGAATGTTCCACAGTATTGTAGATGTAGGTATTTCATTGCCATGGGTATAGAACAAAAAACATATTTTCAGAATTTCCTTCCAGATAAATAGTATACTGCAGTATAAATATGACATTGTATTTACTAGTATCATTTTTCAAATTTAAAATGTATTCAATTAATTAATTTTAAAAACGTACGTATTGAATTGATACACTCTGTAACACCTTGACCAGTTCTCTATTTGTCAGTTGGAAACTGGTCAATGCTTTATCACCAACATCCTTAAAATCACTCTGTGGTCCAGTGCAGCTGCTTCGTGAGTCACCGTTGTGTTGGGTAGCTTCCAGGTGTGAAGATTTCTGACCGTTCAACTATGTGGCCCTTCATTCCTGGGAAATAGTTGTTGAGATGATGGTGATCAATCTGAAGAGGAGTAGTGTCAAATAAAACATTTATTTTTTATACAAACTGGGTTCATTCAAACATTCAGTCAACAATCTTAGGGGCTGTTCCCCAGGTGCAGATAAACCTAGTGATTTACTGAGCAAGACATTTCTCAGAAGCCATGTTTTAAAGGAAATTGTTGAAGGGCATCGAAACAAGCTTTGGACTGTGCACATCGTGTCAGTGCAGTCATAACATTCACTATAGTTTTCTCCACCTGGGCCTGTTTAAAGCCTGTTTATTTGCCCATAGGCACCAATAGAACACAAACAAATAGTATTAACCAGAAGGGCAGAAAACAGTTCAAACTCCTAAACTGAAATAAAAAAATATATATATGTGACTGGAACAATAGGTCTTAAAAGGCCTTTGGTCGTTCATGCCCTCTGTTCAAGTAAGTGCACAAACCATGGCCAAATGTAAAGTTTATGGAATGTTCAAGCTCACATTGTAAGCAACGTTTTCAAGAGACAAGCAGAATAGAGAAACACTCCAAAGGCAGATTCCGTGAGGGGACACATATTTCGAAAGCCCTTTGTTCAGAAAACCCAGGTTAAGGTCAGGCATGTGTTCCTGTATCCAGTCAGTTTAGGCAGTAGTTGTAAATTGATAAAGCGTTCAGAACATGTGCTTTTGAAACATAGAGCAGGATGCACCTTCTTTGGAAGCAATGCTTTCGTATTATATTGTCCCAAAACAGTAACTATATTCAAATTAATCATGATAAATGAATTAGTACTAATATGTAAACATTGTGTAGGCCATACCCAGAACACATAATAACATCAGAAAGGTCCACAGCAGCTGTAAACCATGAAGTCATTTTAACAATATACCAAACAGTGACACTCCTCCAGATGTCAAATGTACAAATGTGGCAGTTTTAGGTGGAGATCAAGAACATGTACAGGCTCGTGCAGCTGAAGTCAACTTGAGTCGACCTTTAATTTGCAGTGTACAGTTCCTATCGCAAAGTACTCTTCAATGTTACTTTAGAGGGGTCAGTTGCCATTACAAAGGAATACATAATAGTGAATAGTCTGTATATAATGTGTTTGTGTATCACTTGTAACAGAGAAATGTGTTATTTGGGATTTGAACGAAACAATAGGCTTTGGATTTATATTCCTAAAGTGGATGGTGGTCAAGAGGTCAGCATGTTTAGTTATATCAAGTCAGACTATAGTTCTCAAAAGAAAGCTGTCATTCAAGCTTGCACATCCTTTTCCTTAACATAAACTTTTATTAACTCTATGACTATCGTTAGTGCAACTTTAAGGCTGACTTTTAGTTTAGTAAGTACTCCTATTGCTTCTGGGAAAAGCAATGGGCGTTTTCCATTGATGTGCCAGCCTCCTCCATTCCATGTTATTTAAACGTGGAGCGCAAACGTGTGAAGTGTCAAAACTTGAGCCACGATGGAGCCGCTCTGCGCGCTTCTCTGCTCCTTGCTCCTGAGCGCTGCATGCGCCCTGCCTCACGACGGGATCCACTGGACATACACAGGTGAGAAAACATGATCCTCATTCTGCTCATTATACCCCTTTACTGAAATGACAGTGTCATGGTGTATAGACGTGTCGTGGTTACAGATCGCACGTAAACTTTCATTGACTTTTGAGTAATACAGACGCAAACACCTGGAAAAGGCTGCGAACAGAAGATGCACCAAACTGGACTATTTCTCAGGATCATCAGTCAAACAAAGTAATCGCAGAGACTCACCGCGTAGTCAATATATGATTTCTTTTACTAGTGTTGATGATGAAGAAGTAATTATTTAGTAATTACAAGCAAAGACTACAACGTTTACTGTACCAAAAGTAATGTATGTTCTTTACTTTTGCAGTACTTTTCAAAGTGATCAAAGTGAATTCATTAAACAATTTAGGAGTTTACCATCTCATGTTGCACTGTATCCTATTGCACCAATTGATATTGCATAATTCTGTACTGCACAATTCTGCCTTGCACTGACCTGTAGCTTCATAAGCAACAGGAGCAGCATTATATATGATCATGCATGTCTCTTAGCCAGAGATGTTTAAAGGTAGGAAACCCTTGGGCATTTACAGGGGAATACTTTTCCAGAAACTACAGCCCTGATATGACAGGACGTTCTTAGAAAAATTCCAGTTCACAATTGCATCTGTAATAGCTCAAGTCACTCAAGAGCATCACTAGACCTCTGACTCAATCACTCATTGCTGGAGGCGCAAAACTATGTAAAACCGTGCTGCAGATAATATCTAATATATGGCCTAAACATATAGGCCAATTTAAATAGTTTGAAGTTTGCAAAGTATAAGAATTTATATTTGCGTATATTTTCTAGAATAGAATTTCACTTACAGGTGCCCATACAACTTAAAGGGAAACTTTTCATTTTACTGTGATTAGATTCCTAAATCTGCCAATTATTCGTAATGTCTGAAAGTCCTTTTTACTGACCATATCATGTCATGTTTTTCATAACCTTTAAGAGAAAGTAATTAGACCATAGTTGTTATGTACTGGAAAAGAATATTTCAAACTTTGTGACAGTTTTTCTTTCTTGTGGAATGGCATCGGAATCATCTCTATGTATTTTAGAAGAATTTATTTCCAACCTGTACGCACATATTTACAAATAAATGCACATGGTCATAACAAACGTTTATGTTGGAACAAGAAGTCTGACTTTTGACTGTTGTCAAGTTTTTTCAGCTGCTCTCCACACAATGTTAAGCTATATTCTCTTTGGGAATGTTGTGATGTCATACAAATGCAACCTATTCTTTCAATAGGAAAAGAAAAAAAGAAATGATGTCGCCATTTGATTTAATATGTCTTCCACTGTTCCATTATTAATAATCCATGTATCTTTATTTTACTCTTTGATGATGTTGTGGTATTTCCTCGTCCTCTTTGTGCCCTCAGAGGGGGCTTTGGACCAGATGCACTGGCCCACTAAGTACCCCGCCTGTGGCGGTAAAAAACAATCTCCTATTGACATTCAGAGGAGAAGCGTGAAGCACAACCCGGACATGTTACAGCTGGAGTTGACAGGATATGACACTCAAAAAGGCAACTTTCTAATGTCCAACAATGGGCACTCAGGTATGAGATTCAGAATATTAAAATCAATCAAAATCAATCCTTCTAACAAATCTGTTAGAATGTGTCACAAATGTGTGAGATGTATTCTATATCAACAAGTCTGTGTATGTTAACATGTATGTTGGACCCCCTCGAAAATGGGATGATTCATCTCAAGGGGTTTTCTTGACAAACTTAAACTTAAGTCTCATGTGTTTTTCTCTCAGTTCAAATTGACTTGCCTCCGTCTATGGCTATCACTAAGGGGTTGCCAGGGAAGTACACAGCTGTACAGATGCACCTGCACTGGGGCGGGTGGGACCTAGAGGCCAGTGGAGCTGAGCATACCATTGATGGCATCCGCTACATGGCAGAGGTAAGTGGCCCCAGAGATGCTTCTGTGATATACTTTTTTTACATTTCCATATCCTCCCTTTCTTATCTAAAGTTTTTGCACATATCCCACACAATGGTCTAGACATGTGCTTTTGTGGGCACATGTTAATTAATAAGGGTTTGAAATGTCCTTATAAGAAATATAGAGAAATTATCAAAACAAGCAGTAATTACCTCTACCAAAGAGGTTAGTCTTGTATTTTAGAGTTGTAAGGATATTTCAGCTGTTCTGTTTCTGAGGGTTTTAGTAGATACCACCTATACCCCCTTATGGAATAAAATGTCAGAATTTGAATAATTCTCTTGGCATGAAAACTATATCAGCTGGAGATCAATGTTTGATTTGAGTCTTCATATTTTCAGTTCATTATTTGTGCATTTGATGTCTTTCAGCTCCACGTGGTCCATTACAATTCCGACAAGTACACGAGCTTCACAGAGGCTCGAGATAAGAGAGACGGACTTGCAGTGCTGGCCTTTTTCTATGAAGTATGTATGGCACCACTTCCTTTTATCCTTATCTGAAGCCCCTTCACCTCTCTGTACTTTTGTTTACAAACTGCAGAAAGCCTTACACAAAATGAATTACCAATAAAACTGAGAGATATGGCTCAGATCGACACAACAAAAGCCCTCAGACAAGTGTTTATTGATAAATCACAGCCCTTTGAAGATTCTGGCTCCGGTTTCCGTGTCCAGCTCAATACCCATTGAGGACTACAGTAGATAGCATTGAGAACATTTCTGACTTAATGCTGGATGTACTATTTTAAGAATTGAACTAGAACATTCTGTTGTTGCATAAACATATCCTTTCATACTAGCTATATTTCAGCCATATTTCCAGAATTACAGATGTTTTTAAGCCCTCCTGAAGTTGGTTTTCTGTGGTAATGTGAGGTATTGTTGTTTCTGCTGATACTTTGACTCTTTCATTCCTCTGGAGATTGTTTAAGTTTGGTGGAGCAGCTAAGGATGAAGGGAGTTTATTTAGTGGCAAACGTTTTTGTAAATGACTTGACAAATCTATCTTTACTCAGGATTAGACAAGACAAATATGTTCAACTTATGTGTTTAGCCTAATGTTTAATCTAACTAGGTGTAACTCAGCAGGTTTTAGCATTATCCCTTTATCCCTATCATGCGCCTCCTGTATGGCGACCTCGCTCCCATCTCTGTGTGGAGTGAGGGACAAATGCCCACAATTATAAAGCACTTTGTGACTCTGGTCTGTGAAAGGCGTTATAAAGAATTACTACTACTATATGTACAAGCCAAACACATCTCAAAAGGCAGAAAAATAAATAAAAATACTGAAAACAAATATAAGTAACTAAACTGAAAGTAAACCACAGGAGCAGGAGATGAAGTGAGCTGACAAAGGGAGGAGAGGGTTTTTAACTGGGAGGCGCAGGTAAAATACTGTAGGGCTGGTCAGACAATCAACAAAACAGAAGATGATGTAAAACCATCATCTAAAAACATTCTCCAAAAAGTGCCAACAAATTTCACAGCATAACAATACAATGGATAATGTTCTCTCTATCTGTATTGACAAACGCAACAGCCAGACAAAATTAAGTTTTAGTATAGTGTCTTGAATGTTGGTCCTTTCTTTTTGAGACTATACTATGTGACATTCTGTATATGCATCAGAGATTAATCTTTCTTTTGTGTTGCCTTGTGTGTTTGCTATGTGCGTTGTGCTATACAAATAAACTTGCTTTGCCTTTCAGGATGGGCATTTTGAAAACACCTATTACAGTGACTTCATTAACAACTTGGCCAGGATTAAATATTATGGTAATGTCTCCTTTGTTCTGCTGCAGTCAGATAAAGTAGATTGTGATTGGATTTGAATGTGCCTTGTTCAGGTCAGTCCATGAACATCTCCAGTATTGACGTGCGCTCGATGCTTCCTGAGAACATGAACCACTTCTTCAGATACCAGGGGTCCCTCACCACGCCGCCCTGCTACGAGAGCATCTTGTGGACAGTGTTCGACACCCCCATCACGCTCTCACACAACCAGGTCACAATACTTTGGCATTTATTACACAACATGGGTTCGTTTTTAATGCACATGATTGGGCTGGACCTCCTGCATTTTTACAGATCATTTCACAGGAAAACTCTCAAAATTACAGTATTGTGATTCAGCTTAACATGTGAAACTAATGTATAATGGACTAATTAAGCATAAAGTGAGATCTCAACCTTGTTATAATGTTAACAAGTCTGTGTCGTTACTGACGAAGCAGCCATCCTTCCGTGGACCCACCACAGGAGAATTAGCGAGGGACTGGTGCTATGAGCATGGGGTGGGATCTCTGATTGCCCTCCCCCTAAACCAGAAATGGATTAATAAAGGGGATCTTAATAGATGAATGAATGATTGTTAATAATTATGGCTCATTGCTAGCCTGGCCTTAACCATCCGTACACTCCGCTCAATCATCATTTCACTGCATGTGACGTCTGGGTCTGGTCCCTGGGTTAGCGATTACAATCGGTTGAATTTCGACCGACCAATCAGCAAGCGCGAAAGGAGAGTGTTGTATTTAGTTGTGGGTGACGTCAAGAGTTTGCGTCGAACGGGAAGGTCGTAGTTTGGCGAAAAAGGCGATAGTAAAGTTTTCCGGTCTGGTTCTATCAAGAAATTGAAGCCAGAGCAATAGGAATGTTTAGCAAATGTAATCGCTAGAAAAAATTGTGGCGCTACTCCCCACGGGCTCCGTTAGCGGCAAAGGAGATGGCTAGGCTAAATGCTAAATGCTAACGACTCACTCGGACTTACATACGTCACAGTAAACCCCTCCTATCTGTAAACGGAGCTCAATGGAGCACCTCCAGACCTTAGTACGAAATGTAATTTGTACTATGGTGTGGTACAACCAGGCTAGCTCATTACCTGTGACAATGAAAAATCAAAATACACTCCTCAAAATTATAACTAACAAAGACTTGTCTGCTTGTAATGAGTCCATACATGTTTCGCATTTTAATTTACAGAAATATATTAACTTTTGAACAATTTTCTGATCACCTGAGCTATCTTGAATATTTGTATCAGCCAATTGATAAAATATAAGTATGAAATAGTACCCCTCCTTTTTAGAGTCAAGTCAAACATTCTGGGATGAATCAGGACTAGTTTGAAACTCACAAATGAATGTAGTTTTTTTAATAGCAAAAAAGTTAATAGGGGTTTTGTATGGATTCCCCTTGGATCGTTTTGCTTTATTACAAGTCCCTGAATCTCATTGTCAGAACAATTGACCTCAGCTATGAAAGGGTAATTGTTAAGAGAAACTTTCTCTTTCTATTCAATTAGATTCAAGCCGCGAACATCACCGTTACAATTAGGTGACTGTTTAAGCTTTCTCTAAGCAGATATTTTTACCACTTATAATTAGAGTTAATGAGTCACTAGAGGCCAAAACTACAGACCCTCAGCTTCAGCCATTGATTTGCACTCCAAAGGGTTCCCAAATAGATAGTGAGATAGAAAGTGACCCCACACAATTGGATTGACCATAACTTTGGTGTTTTGTGCAGATCCGTAAACTCGAAAGCACATTGATGGACATAGATAATAAGACCCTGTGGAATGACTACAGAATCGCTCAGCCTCTGAATGACCGAGTGGTGGAGTCCTCTTTCCTCCCACGTCTTGGAAAAGGATGTGCGTAGCCAACCGAGTCTCTGTTCTTAGTGAAATATGATATAAGTTATGTGAAGAGAAATAATGGTGTTTACATTTTTAGCCTTTTGTCGGCAAGATGAAATTGAATCCAAACTCCTCAAAATCGAGGGTTTGATCACATCTATTGGGAGGCAAATGAATGCAGGTATGGAATAACAGAGATTATGTATCATTTATTTGTGCTATGCTAATGTTTTGTCTTTGTTTAAGGAGGAATGCGTGGACCCAGACCCTCCAGGCACGGTGAGACAGCTTCTGAAGAATAGTTTTTGTGCATGCCACTGTTATAAATTATACTTCTTTGAAAAACATAACACTTTTCATAACACATTAAAAAGAACACAGTTTTCAGAGTGCCTCCTTCTCCTTTTTTTCTTTTACATAACACTTTCCATTTGATATACCAAGCTAGCATAAGGCTATTTCATGTCATTGCCCTAATTGTAATTTTTGCAGAAAATCGTGGACTCTACCCGCTCGTGTTGGACTTCCAGGAAAAGAGCTACGGCAGTTATGCGCTGGCTCGACTTTCCCAAGCGATGGACATGGACCAGTTCACAGTCTGCATGCACGTGAGGCCCGCATTCGACGGCGTTCACACTGTGCTGTCTTACTCCAGCAACGGCCATGATAACGAACTGATGATTTCCATTGACAGTGAAGTAGGACTGTGGATCGGCAACGAGTTTGTCAACCTCCCCCATAATTACAGATCTCATGACTGGGTTAACTACTGCATCACATGGACGTCCAACACAGGAGGTGCGGAGTTGTGGGTGAACGGGATGGTAGGGGAGCAGCGGTACCTCAAAATGGGGTACAGCGTCAGTCCAGGAGGGGTTTTCATTCTGGGCAAAGATCAGGATGGGCTGCTTGGGATCTCCAGCTCAGACGCCTTTGTAGGGAAGATGACGGATGTGAATGTGTGGAACTATGTGCTGTCCACAGCAGATATCAGAGACCAAATGTCCTGTGGGAGAAACAGTACAATTGTGGGCAATGTGTTCAGCTGGGGCACTACTCCTTTGAGCCTTTTCGGAGGCGTGCAGCTAGATTCTCAATATAGATGTACATAAATAAAGCTGTGATTCTGCTGCCATTGGAATGTGAGGCCTTATTTTGCTGGTATAAACTATTAAATCCCTTATGTTGATATAAATACATTGGCGGTAGTTCTATACCTACAGTATATTAGCCATCAGTGCTGTGTAACACATTATGTTATGCTTGGTATTTTCTTGTTTTTTCAATAAAAGTGTATTCTTATTTTTTTCTCCTTCTCTGTTTTGTTATTTTCTATATTGGCTCAGAACATGCACAACTGGTAAATCCTTCCTGGAGATCATGAGATCTCATGCCTCCATGGCAATAATGGAATAATGCATAAGACAATGCAATGACATTTGTCTTTCCTACGAGGACAATAATGAACTTAACTTTAGATCAAAGGTACTCTACTTTCAGCTCCAGACTATTGAAACTTCTGCAACCAAAGTAAAAAAAGAAAGTTTATATTTGTATGAGTTCACATTATGTTACTGTTCCCTGTAGGGAAAAGATGTCCTCAGCTTTTAATTTATTTTTCAACCATGTTGAGAATGTTATACAAAACACATCTGAATTAAAGAAGGAAAACACATTTTAATGATAAATAAAATTTGTTGTCAACTATATAACACGGACACCAACTGCTCTCTGTGTATGATAATGTATATGAATGCATTGTATTATTACATATGAGTGCAAATAATGTAAGTGGACGCACATGTATCCATGTGAGTATGCATGTGAGTATGCATGTGAGTATGCATGTGAGTATGCATGTGAGTATGCATGTGAGTATGCATGTTTAGTAGTAGCCTGGCCTTAGCCATCCGTAAACTCCGGTCAATTATCATTTCCCTGGTGTGGTATCACCAGGATAGTTTTGTAGTATACACTATTAATTTCCATCCATCCATCCATTTTCTTCCGCTTTATCCGTTGCCGGGTCGCGGGGGCAGCAGTCTAAGCAGAGACGCCCAGACTTCCCTATCCACACACACCTCCTCCAGCTCGTCCGGGGGGACCCCAAGGCGTTCCCAGGCCAGCTGAGAGACATAGTCTCTCCAGCGTGTCCTGGGTCTTCCCCGGGGCCTCCTCCCGGTGGGACGTGCCCGGAACACCTCCCCAGGAAGGCGTCCAGGAGGCATCCTGAACAGATGCCCGAGCCACCTCAACTGGTTCCTCTCGACGTGGAGAAGCAGCGGCTCTACTCCGAGCTCCTCCCGTGTGACCGAGCTCCTCACCCTATCTCTAAGGGAGCGCCCAGCCACTCTGCGGAGGAAGCTCATTTCGACCGCTTGTATCCGCGATCTCGTTCTTTCGGTCATTACCCACAGCTCATGACCATAGGTGAGGGAGGGAACGAAGATTGACCGGTAAATTGAGAGCTTTGCCTTTCGGCTCAGCTCCCTCTTTACCACAACGGTCCGATACAGAGACCGCATCACTGCGCACGCTGCACCGATCCGCCTGTCAATCTCACACTCCATCCTCCCCTCACTCGTGAACAAGACCCCGAGATACTTGAACTCCTCCACTTGAGGAAGGACCTCTCCACCCACCTGGAGAGGGCAAGGCACCTTTTTCCGATCGAGCACCATGGCCTCGGATTTGGAGGTGCTGATTCTCATCCCAGCCGCTTCACACTCGGCTGCAAACCGTCCCAGTGCATGTTGCAGGTCCTGGTTCATTGGAGCCAGCAGGACGACATCATCCGCAAAAAGTAGAGATGAAATCCTGTGGTTCCCGAACCGGACCCCCTCCGGCCCCTGGCTGCGCCTAGAGATTCTGTCCATAAATACAGTGAACAGAACCGGTGACAAAGGGCAGCCTTGGCGGAGGCCAACATGCACCGGGAACAGGTCTGACTTACTGCCGGCAATGCGAACACAGCTCTGGCTCCGGTCATACAGGGACCGAACAGCCCTCAGCAGAGGACCCCGGACCCCGTACTCCCGGAGGACCCCCCAAAGGACACCCCGGGGAACACGGTCGAACGCCTTCTCCAAAGCCACAAAGCACATGTGGACAGGTTGGGCGAACTCCCATGAACCCTCGAGTATCCGATGGAGAGTATAGAGTCCAGGGTCCAGAGAGTATAGGTCCAGTGTTCCGCGACCGGGACGAAAACCACACTGCTCCTCCTGAATCCGAGATTCGACCATCGGACGTAGCCTCCTCTCCAGTACCTTGGAGTAGACCTTACCGGGGAGGCTGAGGAGTGTGATCCCACGATAATTGGAACACACCCTCCGGTCCCCCTTCTTGTAGAGAGGGACCACCACCCCGGTCTGCCACTCCATTGGCACCGCCCCCGATCGCCACGCGATGTTGCAGAGACGTGTCAGCCAAGACAGTCCTACAACATCCAGAGACTTTAGATAGTCAGGACGGATCTCATCCACTCCCGGCGCCTTGCCACCATGGAGACTGCCAACCACCTTGGTGACCTCGGCCAGGGAGATGGAAGTATCCGCCCCAACATCCTCAGCCTCTGCCTCCTGGACGGAGGACGTGACGGGGGGATTGAGGAGAACCTCGAAGTATTCCTTCCACCGCCCGACAATATCCCCAGTCGAGGTCAGCAGCCCTCCACCCGCACCATACACGGTGTTGGCAAAGAACTGCTTCCCCCTCCTGAGGCGCCGGATGGTTTGCCAGAACCTCTTCGAGGCCGACCGATAGTCATGCTCCATGGACTCTCCGAACTCCTCCCAGTCCCGGGTTTTTGCCTCTGCAACAGCCCGGGCCGCGGCACGTTTGGCCTGCCGGTACTGGACAGCTGCCTCAGGAGTCCCACGAACCATCATTGCTCGATAGGACTCCTTCTTCAGCCTGACGGCATCCCTTACTGCCGGTGTCCACCACCGGGTTCGGGGATTGCCGCCGGGACCAGCACCAGAGACCTTGCGACCACAGCTACGAGCCGCCGCATTGGCGATAGAGGAAGAGAACATGGTCCACTCGGACTCGATGTCCCCCTCCTCTGCCGGGACCTGGGAGAAGCTCTCCCGGAGGTGTGAGTTGAAAGTCCGTCTGACAGGGGGCTCACCAAGACGTTCCCAGCAAACCCTCACTACACGCTTGGGCCTGCCAGGTCTGACCGGCCTCCTGCCCTGCCAGCGGATCCAACTCACGACCAGGTGATGATCGGTTGACAGCTCCGCCCCTCTCTTCACCCGAGTGTCCGAGACACGCGGTCGAAGGTCAGATGATACGACTACAAAGTCGATCATCGACCTCCGGCCTAGGGTGTCCTGGTGCCACGTGCACTGATGGACACCCTTGTGCTCGAACATGGTGTTCGTGATGGACAGGCCGTGACTGGCACAGAAGTCCAACAACTGAACACCGCTCGGGTTCAGATCAGGGGGGCCGCTCTTCCCGATCACCCCTCTCCAAGTGTCACTGGCATTTCCCACATGGGCGTTGAAGTCCCCCAGGAGAATAACGGAGTCCCCGGGCGGTGCACTGTCCAGTACCCCTCCCAAGGACTCCAAGAAGGCCGGGTACTCTGCACTACCGTTAGGCCCGTAGGCCGTCACAACAGTGAGAGACTTGTCCCCCACCCGGAGACGGAGGGTCGCGACCCTCTCATTCACCGGGGAGAACTCCAACACGTGGCGGCTGAGATGGGGGGCAATGAGTATGGCCACCCCAGCTCGCCGCCTCTCCCCGCGGGAAACACCAGAAAAGTGGAGCGTCCAACCCCTCTCAAGGAGTTGGGTTCCAGAGCCCAAGCTGTGTGTGGAGGTGAGGCCGACTATCTCTAGTCGGTATCGCTCAACCTCCCCCACAAGCTCGGGCTCCTTCCTCCCCAGTGAGGTGACGTTCCACGTCCCAAGAGCCAGATGTTGGGTGTGTGGACTGGGTCGTCGAGGTCTCCGCCTTCGACTGCTGCCCAGTCCTCTCTGCACCTCGCCACCATGGACCCCTCTGCAGGTGGTGAGCCCACAGGAGGGACTGCCCACGTCATCCCTTCGGGCTGAGCCCGGCCGGGCCCCGTGGGCTAAGGCCCGGCCACCAGGCGCTCGCTTGCGAGCCCCGACCCCAGGCCTGGCTCCAGGGTGGGGCCCCGGCTGCGCCATGCCGGGCGACGTCACGGTTTTCGTTGTCGTGCTGTCCATGGTTGGCTTCGGACTGCGCTTCGTCTGACTCGTCACTTGAGACCTGTCTGCCATGGGAGACCCTACCAGTGCTCAAACTCCCCCACCACGTTAAGGTGGCAGTCCAAGGGGGGAGCACTATTAATTTAAAAAAAAAAAAAATTATTATAGTATTATTGTATAGTATTATTAATTTAAAAAAAACTATTTAATTTTTGTTTGAAACAAATAATTCAGTGTTTATCCCTCTTCTATGTTTTAGTCATTCTATTTTTGTGTTGTATGTTTTTATTTTCCATGTTTAAGCAATCTGTCATTGCAGCATTTGGATAATCTTGTATAATCTTTACAAAGCTCTGTGTCACAAAGATTGCACACACCTTTGATTCTTTTAAAGAATAAATTGTATTGAATGGATTAAAAGTAGTTTGATTGTTATATCCAGAATAAACAATAAAGTTACATGACAAAATAAATAAATTGTGACTACAGTCGTTGCAGAATACAAGTACATGGATATGCAGAGAATAAGGCTGTAACCATGACAGCCTTGGACTATGGCTCAATAATAGTCAGTCTGTACTTCCTCTCTCTCAAAAGGCTGTGACCTTCTCTCCATCACTCCCCACGTCTCCAACTTTGGTCAAAGGCAAGTCACTGTCGCCCAGTTTGATCTGCACTTTGTTCCTCTTGGCAAACACCTGAGAAATCTCTAAAAACGTTTGGTTTTTGGTCTCTGGAACCACCACCCAGATGTAGACCAGCGTGACCAAGCAGATACAGGAGAAGATGATGAAACTGAAGGCGCCCAGTCCCCTCTGTAGATAGACACAGGAAACAAGCAACGATAAATGATCATGTACGGACCACACTGGGAGATACATTGCCAATTAGGATTTTTTTTTTTAATTGAAAATCTGTTGTTACTGTTTCACAAATATGGACCTTCTAATCCAGCACAAGTAAAGCATCAAGAGGAATGTAAATGTTTTGTTTTTTAGATATATATTTTTTGACAATTGAATGTTTGGCTGATTTGACAATGATTACATTTCACAAACCTCCAGAAAAGGGAAGACGAGCCCCACAGTGAAGTTGGAAAGCCAGTGCACAGAGCCGGCCACCATGAAGGCAGCGGGCCGCGCCGACTGACGGAACATCTCTGTGGTGACTACATATGGGATGGGACCTGCGCAAAACCACAAAATCAAAACACCGCAGACAGCCGAGCATCTATCATTAAGGTTGAGTCTAAACATCACTTGAGCTAATGGAAAGGTGGTGTGTGGGTGAATAAGCAGCACTCACTGGGACCAATGGCGTGGCCGATGACATAGATGATGACACAGGAGATAGAGATGTAGGGCATCCACGCCACGCTGTCCTTCAAATCAAAACTCTCATCAGCATCAAATGATACTTTGAACTGCTTGGGTTCTAGTTTGAAGACAACTAATGGTTGTTAACATGCAGGAAAAATCAAAAGAAGACAAAATAAACACAATTTTACTATCAAAGAGAGCTGCTTGTGGAAAAAGACAAAGGTTAACATTTGACGTTTGGAAATACCATATGTTCTTTTACGATTAGAAGTTGGGGAACCTAACTTTCGAACCTCCAAGAACAACATGATAGCCGCAAGCTGCGGCCATGCTGTGAAACCATAGAAAATGTCCCTTTAACACGACAAAAGGAGGTCCTGACATCGCTACGACAACACAGTAAGAAATAAGGCATGGGTCTCATTGTCTGTTTGGACCGATATTGTCTGTTTTAACATTTTTCTTGCCCCATAATACATTTCTATTACTCCATGGGGGTTTTGGCCACAAAATGTTTTCATTTTCAAATTTAGAAATAACCATTATGTAAAGTGCTTACGTGCCCATCAGTGACTTTTGCAAAGACTCCACCCCTTCACTGTCATTTACCCTAGTAAACAGCAATAATGTTGGACACAGGACGTGCACGAGTCACTCAGTGTATTAGTCAATGTTTGATTCTGTTACATGATGGACATTACCTACTATTGTTCTTGAAAGGCTTGAAATGACTGTGTGTGTGTGTGTGTGTGTGTGTGTGTGTGTGTGTGTGTGTGTGTGTGTGTGTGTGTGTGTGTGTATGTAAACTTTACAGTCTAGGGGTGTATACATACTGAAGCACCGGTAAATATTACTGTTTATCTGTTTGATGCAAAGACAAGGGAAGTACATAAAGTTTGCTCATTCAAACTCAAGGTCTGGCTTTTAATACATTTGCACACTAACCTTTGTGTACCCTTTTACAAGATGTATCTTATTATGCAGAAAGTAAACTTTTTGCAACACATTTTTCATGAGGCAAAGAAGAACAATGCTTAATCTCATGCTATCGTCACCTATAAATTGCTACTGTTTGTAATGTTTACTGTCTGGTTACTTCTTGTTCAGTATGTAAAACCAGTGGGGCCACAGTGGCATCAGCCTGGTTTGGTGTTGAGTGTGTGGTCAGGGATTCTAATGTCTCAGCACTATTCACTTTTTACCGTCTATGACCTCAGAAAACAGACGTCCAGTCATCAGACCTGTCTACACTCCAGTAACTGCAGAGTTAAATAAGCTGTTGGGAAAAGTATAAATTATCTACATGAAATTACCCAAAATAATTATGTCCTGTGTTGAGTGTGTGTCTAACTCTTGTCTATGTAAGTTGTGACTCTTTATCTTTTTTGTCTTTCCTGCATAATTATTGTCATGTAGTTTAGTTAATGCACTTTTGCTTGACTCGAGGGGGAATCTTTGTCGAATCATTGACTCAATATATTTATTTGAGACATTTGAAGCATTTCCTTTGAAATATTTCAACAACATCAAACAGTTTAAAATGACAGAGAATGAGAAGAACGTAATGGTCAATTGGGTTGAACTTTAAACAGGGCTAACCACTTCTTTTATGACACACTTATGTAATGTCACCATCTGCAAAGTAACTAGTCCTTTAATAACGTAAGAAGCAGAAAGACCTCATAATTGAGTTCAAAAGTAACTCATACAAGTACAAATAAATCTGCAAATCTAGCTTCTTTAAATGTTTGCAAAAAAGAATCTTCTGAGCATTAAACATAAGAAGACATAATCCACGTTTTACAGGTATTTAGTAAAATTGCATGCCTTAGTTATTAGTAAAGTAAAGTATTGATAAGAGGAAAACTACCGTATTTCAGTAAAAATAATTTTACGTTACTTGATCCCTCTGAATACCAAAGGGAGAAATGCAGTATAGTGAGTGTATCCAATATACAAACTACAGGTTTCTAATTGGTGTGCTGTTATGTGTTATAAAATGGCCCCACTGGATTGAGTTAAGTGTCTGTAACTGCCTCACGGTACACCTGCCCTTTAAAGGACATTATTCTGTTACCTCTGAGGACCTCTGCTGTTGATACAATATCAACCACACTGAGTTGTTGTGGTTGTAATACTCCCGCTGTGTGCCGCTAGAGGGAAGCAGAGTAGCGTGAGTTTTGTAGTACCTGGAATTTGAGAGCCACAGTCAGTAAGGCAGAAGCAGCACAGCAGATCAGAAATCCACTGAGCAGCAAGAGACGACGTCCAGTGGCTTCTACAATGAAAACCTGCAGAAAATATGAGAAAGAACTATATCTTCACGTAGTGAGTGTGAAAGGCCTCTTTACAGTGAAATTGCAGTATATGATGTTATTATTTCTTTATATACACAGAAACCAGTCGAAGCGCTATATACATATAAATAAGTATACTCACTGCAGCAATGGTCATGACGACATTGACTGCACCAGTTCCTACAGTCACATACTGAATGTCATTGGATTTGACTCCCGCCTGGGCATAGATACTGTCTGCATAGTAATAAATCTGCGTGGAAAAAGAAAAGAAACTTTAGAATAAAGGTCTGGTGTATAACATAACTGCGGGGTACCTTACTTGCAAACCGTAAAAACTTAGTTCTTGGTCTTAAACGGTCTGGTTCTACCACGTTTATGTTTCGGACAGTTACATCTTTAGATAGAGATAAAGATAAAAAGAAAGGGAAAGATAGATAGAATTTTGTACGAAAAAGATGAGGACAACTCCTATGAGTCAATCAGCTCTCAGTCCAAAGCGTCCAATGGTGACTCACAGGGTTCTTAGCAATAGGCCTATGCAAAAATAAAAACATAAAAATAAATGACTCATATGGGGAAAAAAACCACACACACACACACACACACACAAAATTGATAAGTTTCTGTTTGTGTTTTCCGGATTCAAGTGAAACAAAAACGTGAAGGATATGGTTCCTTTACCGCATTGACCCCGGACAGCTGCTGGCCCATGTTCATGACCACGATGGAGACGAGCTGCCAGCGGAGGGAGCGCTTCGACAGCAGCGCGAGCACAGACAGACGCCCCTCCGCGCGCTCAGACTGGTCTTCCAGCCGCATCTCTGACAGCTCCGCGTCCACGTCCTCACAGCCTCGGAGACGCTGCAGTCCTGGGGCAAGCGACACATTCAGTCATGTAAAACCTATAACAGTAGGAACAATGAAAATGTAAATGGACCATAAGGCGGTGATAGGTGTTGTGCCGATTTGTTTACACTGCTGCAACCTTGTCATTCTAATTATGGTAAACATTGAACATTGAAATTAGTAGCACTTTGATAAAAAATAAAATATATATATAGATAGTTGTTCCTTCATACTATAATCTGACATTGTCCCGTTCATATCCTGATCAGTTTTTGGCAGTATGGTAGTATTTAACAGTATGGTATTTGGCAGGTGATGAGCAGTTACCTCCTGATAACATGAAGTTTGGCATTCGTGGCATTTTCAATTACATCCGACCAAAGAACCTTGCTTATGTTGAGGGTCTTTTAAATGCCTTTTAGCAAACTCCAAGCGGGCCTTTTGCTGAGGCTACTCTTCCACAAAAACATGACTGGTAAAGTGCTGCACTGTTCAGGACATCTGGAAACTCTGCCACCTAATTATCCATAACAGAGATGCTCACCTGACACAAAAAGGAAGCAAACAACAATATGTACTTAAATATACTTTAAAATCAATACGTCCCAGTGCGAGAAGTTATTCTCTGGAACAATTTAACGGATGAAATTAAAACATTTTCAAATCTAGTCTGAGTGTCATAGCAAAAGATGTTCTGATGCTTAATTTTTCTGTCCATCCATCCATTTTCTACCCTTTAATCCATCTCTGGGTCAGGGGGGTGGCAGTCAGAGATGCCACCCAAGTCTCATAGCACCAGCCCCTCACTGATCCTCTGCAGGTGGTGAGTCCACAGGAGGACGGCTGCTCTCTGAGTGTGAGCATAGCCTTGATCTTTCAGTGGGGGCTTTGGGCAAAGTGGGGTTAAGTGTCTTGCCCAAGGACACAACGGCTGCAGTCATCAGTGGGAGTTGGTGGAGAAGGTGTCGAGGTGGGAATTGAACCCACAACTTTCAGGCCTAAAGGCCAATGCTCTACCAACTGAGCTACTGTCGCTCAGTTGGTAGAGGATAATTTTTCTGATTATTATAAAATTGTATAAGAAACTATTCACGTTCACTCACAGTACAAGGTGTTACCAGATTGAAAACAAGAGTGAACATTAATAAGAATGTGAACAATTTTGGAATAAAAGAATAATTGGAGTTTGATTAATTTCTGGATGTATACAGTGTACTTATTCACCCTTTTTTGCAATCTTCTCGTCGCCTCTCTGTATGAGCATGTACCTGGGGCTCTCTGGGAAAAAGGGCAGCAGCAGGAGCTCGATCACAGCGGGGATGGCAGTGAGCCCCAGCATCAGAGTCCAACCTGGAGAAACACATAGGAACAAACCAACATAAACAAGACAAAGCAAACAATTCTTGAAATAATAATTACTTTTCAGATCCAAAAAACATGTAGAAACACTTCCATTATACAGTACATTCAACATTGACAATAGCGATGCAAAAACCACTTCACGTATGTTCATGCGTCCGTCTTTTCATTTTTCATCAATTAAAAGACCGATTGGTGTGTTTCTTGCATCAGTTTTCTCAATATAGCAATGATAATTTCACAACACAAATTGACTTTAAATAGAAGCCAGACTTTGAACCCACAACCACTATGAAAGGAAAATGCTCATGTTTGTAATTCCTCTCGTTACTGCTTTAGACTTTCAATTGATGAAGTAATAAAATCTAAATTCTTGCTTAGACCTTCTTGACCCGTAACCTCTCAAGTGCTAATTAATGGACAGTCAATCAATAAAGCACTGGCGATGAATATTCAAAGCCATGCATATTTCTTGTCAGCGTGCCAAATCTTACCAGTGTCATTTCCCAGTATGTTTCTTATCCCCAGGACCTGAGCACTGAGGATACCGATGGTTATGAAGAGTTGGGGCACAATACCAATGGCTCCTCTCAAGTTTTTTGGGGAAATTTCACCCAGATACATTGGAACCACATTGGAGGACAACCCTGTTATGATAAGCACATTTTAATGCCATACATTACATCCCTTTATTACATCCGGACACATCTTTTCCAAACCTGCACATATGCCCACTATAAATCTGGCCACAATTATAATTTCATAGGACTTTGAGATTTCGCTGACTCCCATCATGACTGCAGGCACAATGGAGAAGATATTGTTGAACAGTAGAGTGCCCTTCCTATCAATTCAAGATGAAATATATATAAGCATACATACATATTCTTTGGTTGGTGTTTTCATTTATATATGTATTTTTTACCTCCCTAGTTTGTTGACAAGTGGAGCCACCATCAAAGAGCCGAAAAATCCCCCAAACGGATACATGGACACAGACAGGGACCATAGCAGCGTGAGGAAGCTTTCTTCCATTGGCCTGCTGTAGCGCTCCAGGTATGTGTCGTTGTAGAAGGCTTTCATGTACTATCAAAAGAGATGATTTTATAGGGGCAATAATAGGCTTTTATTGGAATGGGGGCTGACTTGATTACCAGAGCAGGAGAGTTGATCACAGCCACGTTATATCCATACTGGAAAGATGAGCCAAATGCTGATATGAGAGTAGCCAAAGCCAGCACCGCAGTTAATTTCTGCCAGAAAAACAATAGGATGAGTGCAAGCATTATCATGGGGTATTATGCTTTTTTTTGCCTGAAATATAGTTAATAAAATAGGATGAAATTGTCCCAAGACACAAGTTGATGACCAAACCACGATTTTGATTTTTACAATTTACAATAAAACGCCCAAATGAATGATAAAATGAGGAAACTGCAGGCAAAGCAGTTGTCTCTTCACATGACAATAAGCTGATGGACTATCCAACGTAAATATACAGTATGCTGTTTAATAAATAGCCTAGAGGTCTCACATTTCCAACAGATTCTGTAAACTAAAACAAGACTACCAAATAGGAAAGACTATTTATGTTTAGCATCAGTCAACAATTGTATGTTCCATTCATTAACACTATACAATGAATGATACAAGCAGCATGACTAAATATCGCAAGTGAATATTAAATGTTCACATCATTGTGCATTTCACAATTATGTGAGTGCGCACAGTAGCATTGGCTGTGATAAAGTACAACTTTCAAGATATTGTTGGTGGGTTTGGGCTGGTGTTTTTCAGGTCTGCAGGATCCCTTCGATAAGTCCTTGTACTTCTTTCATGTCATTTTACATGGTGAAGAATACAACAAAATTACACAACCCTAAAGTCAAATGGTACCTTCATCATGAAATTGAATAATCTCCTTCATACTGACTCACCCCTGTCCTCTCTGGTGTTTCTTTTGCCTGTTTTTCCTTCATGATTCTCTGAAGGTTTTGACTGCTTTCATTAGTTTCCTCTGGACATGTCTGCGTACTGCTAGACCCAGGATGCCCTTTGGACATGGGACCGCAGATCAGTCTGTTTATGGCTTCTCTGCTGCTGACAGGGCATTTGGCCTTATGAGGCTTTGGGAAAATACACACAAATATTACAGAGTAACATGCGAGTGATCGCTTCTGCACATGGATCTATTATAATAGAGCAGGACCGCAGTTTCAACGATCACCACTTCCTGGTTTCATACAGAGAAACCAATGCCAAGCAACACAGTTCATTTAATGTTGGGAAAAGTTGCAGGCCAATTATTTTTTTAATCAATTCTAAATTAACATGAGCTCAATAATTGATTGCACTCTATTGTGTATGACAAATTTACATTTATTATCAATTGATTCACATGAATGAATCAACATCTATTTGATTCAGACTTTCTTTGAGTAATATGTCAAACAAGACACCTGGACACCATCATACTGTGTGTGTGTGTGTGTGTGTGTGCGCCTGTCGCATGGCGCCGGAAAAGATGGCGCCGTGGCAAGAGCTCTGGTGTGTGTCGTCTGGCGCACACCGGGGTAGTCTTGCACAGTTTTTCCAATGTGGTTTTACTGCAAATGGCAAATAAATGAATCTGAATCTGAATCTGTGTGTGTGTGTGTGTGTGTGTGTGTGTGTGCAGCCGATGGGCACATATCAGCTGCATCACTTCCATCACTCTGTCCCAGGGCAGCTGTGGCTACACCACCAGAAGTTTACAACCACTGTGTATGCAGTGAGCGAAGTTTACTTGGTCAAAAAGTGCTATATTAAACCCATTCAGCTTTGGGCCAAATTCATAACCAGATAGTGACGTATAGTGAAGTGGTCGCAGGTGTGACATAACCCTAATTCTTGGACTAATACATTAAGTGGGCACTGAGCCTGCAGTCTCCAATGGCGCAATGTCAGCCAAACCAGCACAAAGGATCAGTGTGAGGGAAGAAATATGCGGTTGTTTTACGCTATGCACAAAATGCCTCACTTTCCCAGACTATCTCTCTGCTCCAGAATCCTGGCACTTTAAATATATGACTGTGGAATAATAACCTTGACTCTGAGGCCCATTACTTTCTTTCAAGAGCTAAAAATATTGACATAAAAATCAGTCGGCAATTGTTTATTTATGTTTGCAGAATAAACACAGAGACATGTGGGAAGTAAACTAAAATTCTAAAATAAAAATACAGCTCAAACGTAACCCTATCCCGTAGATGGAAACTCACCTGCGTTTATGCAATTAAAACATGACAAACCTTATTCTCAGTTTATTGAAATTGTATCTATTGTGTTGTCTGTCATAAGATGAAAGATAAAAAAAATGAACAATATATTTTACAGATTGTTGCTGCAATTTGGTCATTGGCGACTGGTTCAGCAAAGCAGCCTCTTCTTCTAAAGAATTTGTAGCCAAATAGAAATGATAAACATGGTTGTCTATACATTCATGACCTGGCACCCCACTAAAAGTCTTTGTGAGAATGTGTGAGGAGCTCATCTTTGCCAGAACCACAAAATAATAAAATCTGTAACACAAAACAAAACATTTTACCTTTTAAATGTCTGAAGTGCTGTGCCATATGTTGACAGTACTTAATTTGGAACTGTCAACCAAATAAAGTACTTTATGTGTATTTGGGCCATGGTCAGTTTGTCCTCCTTTTCATTTGGATAGAACTGCTTCTCTGTCAAAGCAGCAGGAGTGTGTGTGGGGGGGGGGGGGGGGGGGTTGTTACCTGTATTTATCAAATTAAATCAAGTTGTATTTATTGATTAGCTTATAGCTTTGTACAAAATCATTTATTGTGCAATGCAAATAAACATAAATAAAAATAAAATAGAATTCTAAAACCGATTGGTGCACTCACTGTCCTGTCATTTTGATGTTTTTCAGTGGCAAAGATGACATTGGTATAGTATTAATGTTACAATACTACATGTCTTGAAGACTGCAGTATCTTAGTAATCATAAATATTCAAAACTATGTGGAACCCATAACATATGAACCCTCGCTTGTGCCTCATTGAACCATGAACATTTGTCAAACCAGTAGAGAACACCATGACTGCTAAAAATGCAGTGGCACAGGTTTTACTGACTGTGGCCTCTTGAGGACTGAGTAATGACTGAAGCTCCACGTAACAAGACACAAAAAGCAAACTAAGCAAATCAAAGAAAGGAGAAGCGAAGAGCTAAGGTTTTAGGAGGAAGAACGGCATGTGATAGACCATGCATCCTGCTCACAATGAGTCAACAAGGATAATCGCTGTCATGCTTTTGCAACAGTGATGAAAGAATGGCAACAGAAGGATTGTTTATTTTATGTTTGTGGTAAACAGAATTATATACAGGTGTTTAGAGAATATATAGCTGTAGAAGTATCCATCTACTCTTCAGGTTAAATAATAATGCGCCAATGATATATGCACTTGAAAACCAGTAGAAACAAATCAGAACATGGATTTTATGACCTAGTTGCACTTTTGTGATTTGAAATGTAGGGAGCCTAGCTTTAACTTTCAATTATTTTTGCGGAGGAACAATCAGGTGTACGTGATTATATTTTAGCTTATCATTTTGCAGGCACTCACAGGGTATTTTCAAACACACGTCAACAGCTATCAAGTGGTTGGCCATAACAATTGTCTGTAACAGGTTTCAATGACCCTTGAAAAAAAAGGAACAGCTAAATGGTTAGCATTTACCAAGACAATAGATTATTGTTATTATTTCTTTATTTTTAAACAATAAACATATAAATATAACCACATGTTATATTATTGCAACAACACTTCAATTCTCAACTCGAGTGTAAAAATGCATACTTCACAGTACTGTCACAAATTTGAAAATACATAGCTGCTTGAGGGTACAGTGGTTTTACAGTCACTTTACTCCGGTACCCAACAAATTTAACATATTGTCGCTCACTTAAGACAGACTTTTCCATCACCAAAGTTCAATCACTGGATAAGCACTTCTGGTGTCATCTTTGGGCCTGGGCCTCAGTGGGGTCCGTGGTGCTCTGATTGGAGGTACAGCGTGGGCAGCACCAGCACAGGGCGCTGCAGAGTCGTGTGCGAATGGGACGAGTGAACAGCACAAACATGATGCAGTTGGCCGCTCCCTGAAATGTGTTGCCAATTCCCTGTTGGATCAGACACAAAAACATAACCGGTTAAACAATGACACGTTAGAATATTTAGTTTAGTGCTGGGTGCCAATAATGCTAATTGTTTTTTTTCATTTTTTTTCAAACCTCACCCATGTTAGTTGAAAACAAAAAAATGAATTATACACTGTATTGTTATAACTCTAGATGACATTTTCCTTAACTCCTTCAATCTTCTAGAAAGGCAGAGGACACCAGTAAGTCCATTTAAAGCTGGGGTACCAAATATTTTTCTTTCATAAACAATACATTGTGGTGGTTTCCCAGCTGTATCTGCCCATAACCTGTCCCTGAATGATGCTGTCCATTAGTGTCACCTACATGCAAAGTGACCAACACAGGGTGCTGTCTGGCTGTGGAGTTCGCCAGCAGCAGAATGAAGCGCACTGTGCTCCAGATGCGAAGGAAGATGAAGATGACAGGAATCATCGTTAACTTCATGTCAGCCATCGATGAAAAAGACTGAGCCGTCGAACTGTTTGCCAAGATTGGGCGGTACTCAGACAAGGCTGCATGCTGCACAATGGAGAAAGACAGAATGAAAGAAAGGACCAATTATTTTTGAAAATATAACACACCATTTACCAGTGAATATGTACTCCATATTCAATATTGCATTGTCAATACTCACTGCTATGTGAATATGCCTTTTTATCAGTATGTAGAGAACAGGGAGAGTGACGTAGGCCAAGAACTCCCAGATCTTTCCCGTTAGCAGCATCCACAAAACATGATCCGAAGCATGGATCTTGACCCAGCACCATCCCACAGACACCTCAGATGCATCATAGCCAATTTTATCCAGGCACAAAGCTGCAACAGTGATGGCTAGAGGAACACCCCAACTATAGGAGAGAAAAAAAACATGAAAGTGTTGAATATGCCATAAATTAGTTAGTCACATTAATGGATCAACACAGGATTGTGCATTTGCAAGTTCAGGCTGATCTCGTATAACACAGCATTTATTGATTCATAATGTAGCAAACGTATTGTATCTCCCCACAGAACTGTAGTCAATCTCAAACGGGCAATTATTCCAAAAGCAGCAGATTCAAAGCACCCTCTTTGTATGATGAATACACTCCATAATGAATGGGTCTGTTGTGACCCACAAGTCAATAGAGAAGAGGAACAAAATTACAAAGACAAACATAGACACAGCACCAGGGCAAGCCAGGGGGTGGGAATGTTTGTATCCAGAAATAGATTAGTGTCTAGTGGCAAATCATAATAGATTTACATAACCTGAATGTAACCGGCTCAGTTCTAAGGATGATAATAATAATAATACTAAAAAAAGATTAAATTAAAAAAAACACACAAAACATTTTAATAATAATTTCTCATCGAATTATTTGTCCCCCAATTGTAGATTTTACACAGTAATAACAGATTTCTAAGATAATTGTTCTCTGTGATTTCATACGGATGACCCGATACCACCAAGTCATACAGTCTATAGAATCAGGTCCAGGACCAACTTAATTCTAGTCTATAAATCACTTGGCATTATTAGATTGTGTGGACTGGAGTATTACAATAGAATTGACAATAATTGCGTTGCACATATTATAATATTATCTTAAATTATCTAGTTGTACTTTTATTCAACACGGTGCACACAAGGAAATATTGCATTTTAAAAAGGTAAAAAAAAAAGTTTATTTTTTTTTTTTCAAACTTGAAGATTTCCCATCATGCATCAATGGCATACAGTGCACTTGACAGCTCTGCTTGACACTTGACACACATGAATGTATCCTTAACCAAGCTAGCGCAGGCTTCTGAAGAGAACTCTGTTACTCACCTCACAAGGTGGAAAACCCACACCAGACTGTCTGCTCCCCTCTTGTTGGACCTCACGATGAACATGTAGAGATAAACCGCGATGGCCACGGTCCAGAAGAAGGAGCTGGTGTTGGCGAAGGTGGAGATAGCTCCTTGAACCACGCAGTCCACAGAGTCTGAGTGGAAAACTTTCCCCACTCCATACGCGTACGACACGGCGGAGAGCCAGTCCGACACAGACAGCCACACAAGCAGCCTCCTCGGAGTTGTCCTCAAGTCTGACCAAGTCATGTAAGTGATGATGATGAGGGACGAGCCGAGGAAGGACAGCGCGCACGAACACAGCACAACCACCTGCTCCGACAAGAACACCTCGGTCTGGTTTGCCATCTTTCCTTCCTCCTCTGGACAACTTCTGCAGTCATGGATCCAGAGAACAAATGCAGATCTGAACCCGCTCACGCAGACGACACATGTCTAACATATGACTAAACATACACGCAAACATGAGTTCACGTCACAGCATTTTAAGGAACTGCGTGTCTTGGGTTCAATCCTTCGGAAAAGAAACTAACCAAACTTTTTGTTCTCCTCCTCCTTTCTCGTAGTTGCCCAACCGGAACCAGAGCTCACGTCAGAGTCAGCTGGTGCACGCTGCTCTATTTATGGGACCCTGATCTCAACTGGTGTGAGGACTCATCACCCAGAGCCAGGTCATGTAAGAAAGCACATTACCCAATATCACTTTTGAATATACTTGTCTTACACACTGTTTAAGGAGACTGACAGGTGCTGCTGTGGTCTTCAAATTAAAGCTGGGGTACCTAACTTTTCTTATTTGATAATTAATACATGCTGTTTTCCACAACATAAAGACTCTTGTAAATTCTGTGAACAAATCAGACCACGATATGCTGTCTTTATCTTATTGACAACATATTATCTTTTGCATACTTAAAGGAAATAGCATTGTGAGTCACTAATCGATACTGGAGGCTGGGTGAGAAAAGCTGATCCAAAGAAGTCAAATATACATGATTTATACGTGAAAATATTGATGGAACCAACCTGTAGAGAGCGAGATACTAGTGAGCTGGACCTTTATTAAAATGTTGATGTTTTTTCCCAGCTTTAATAGTTTAATATTTTAAGTTCATTTTGAAATCAAAGCTTAAGTGCTGCTGAACAACAACAACAAATCATAGAGAGGACTCTGAAACAACAAAACAACTAAACAAATTTGAAATATTTTTCTTTATTTCTGCAGAAAACCAACTGTAAATCTCTGGGAGGTTCAAACACTTATTTGATTTGATTACTTTTTCCAAATTGTGATTACAGCCCTTTAAGGAAGTAATGAAACAATTATGTAATGAATCAATATGATGATTATTTATTTGTTTGTATTTGCCTCAAGCGATCTCACCTCTACAATTGCTCTAATCTTGCAGCTCACAGTCTCGTTTGTCTCCGTCTTCTCAGGGTGATGGCTGTAGACCATTATAAAAAGCCAAACTTGAAAGAAAAAAACGTTTACAAAATCTAGTGACTGGATCAGCGCTTAAAGCTTAAAAGATTAGCAACATGACCCAAAGTATTGTGCCACGGAGAAATGAGCGTTACTTTAGTGTTGAGTTTTTATATAATAGATATAATATTAGTTTTTGGTGACAACTCTCTGTGCTAAAGGGTGCATTTGTGTTAGGGCTGCAACGATTTAATTCCCTAATTCCTCAAAACCCGGTGAATGTGCACTTCAAACTGAGCGGTTATGTTGTGCCGGACTGTACTGAAAGCGACGTACTTATTTTGAAATAAAACTCCTTATTTCTTTTAACTTAAAACAATAAAACATATTTGTTATGCATTCTCTGTGGGTATGTCTTGTGAAAACTCTATTAAAAGTTAAAGATAATTATTATAATTCTGGAATATTACACTAATCTGTAGCGGCAGCCCTGAATAGTGTTTTTTCCGTTTGAGTTTCAATTGAAAAATGAATGTAATGATAGATGCAGATGAAGTTGTTTTGCTTACAGCGCTTGAGAATTGTGTAATATTATTGGATCATAAGTAGTAGTATATATTGTCATTATTTAATAAACCAATCATGAGTAGAACAAATAAAAGACATACAGTAACTGGGACAGTACGTTTTCCCCCAATGATGTCTGAAAGAAAACAGCAGCGTCAGCATCTATATCATCAGAAAAAGGTCATTTTCTGTACACGAAGAATGCAACATAGAAGCCATATCCCCACCTTAATTAATTTCTTTCTTTAGGGATCGGAAGGCTCACATAATAAGGTAAATAATACTACAGTGTCAGGTCATAAATCACACTTTGAATTATGCAAAGCAGCACTTTGTTGGCTCATAACCACGGCCACAGGAGAGTTTAAGAGTTAAATTTATGCTGCCGGTCGACCTTGTGGAGAAGCCCCCTTTTGCGGCTCCTGCAATGCTGCGAATTTCTCTTGTGGCATTGCAGTACAGTACAGGCCTCAAAATATCTGCATTTCCACCGTCACCAAAAACTGCAACATTAAATATGTCTTTAAATCAAAGTGCAAACAGTGGTAGTTGTCGAATAGGCTCAGCTGTACTCCATACATTCACATTAGATACATGAGATACTGCATTTATGGAGGCTTTGTGAAATTCATCTGGCAACAGTCTTAAAACATATTCCTAATCGGCCATTTTTTAGAACTGGTCAGTCTTTGTCAACTAAAAATTATTTATAGGGAAAAACTGAAAAAAATAGGTAGACTATTATTTGAGAATTATCAAGCCATGTCAATTTGTTTTATCAATAGCAGAATATGAATGCAATTTATGTAGTTTTTGCATGAATTGCGCGCAGCTACGCAGCCGAAACATGTTACAAGATAAGATAAGATGTGCTTTATTTATCTCACAAGGAGAAATTTACATGTCACGTTTGGCATGGATAGAACACTCAGATTGTGCAAAAGGAGGAAATGTGCAAACATTTTACATGCAGGATATATATGTACAATAAAAGTGGCAATTTAAAGTGGCAGTCAGATATAGTGTCAATAGTAGTAGTTCAGTTTAAAAAAAAAAGGTTTTTAAGGTTTAAGGTATTACAAGGTAATACATCTAACTTATTTTTAAAAAGAACCACAAAACATACTATTTTGAATTCTTGAGAAATTCTTTGGTGTACTCAAAGTAACGCAAGTCATTTTTGACCCATAAAGAAAGATACATACAATGAAACGCATGAATAATCATTAAATTAATAATTCACCATAACAGGACAAGAGAGTCACCTTTTTAATGTTATTGTGATAGAACAGAAAGAACTATTAACTTTTAAAATAAACAGACCTTTTTTTGTAAATTTGATGCAAATATATATGAATGCGATTGCAACTGAAAACAAGTCATTTCAAGCCACACTGATGAATGATCTTTGTTGGAGTTCATCCTTAGAAAATGCAGTATTAATTTTTATGGGATGCCACGAGGCCAGTCACAAGATGGCAGCAGAGGATCATAAAACATGCTGCAGGAGCTTGATGCTGTGATCCAGGTGAAAATACAGGAGCTGGGATCATAAATGCTAATCCAAGTCACTATTTTTGTATGTGTCCCAGATCCTGTCAAGCCGTCCAGTGCTCAGCTGATCTCACAGGCCTTTTATTGCAAAGAATTTCTGCGGCAGTATACTTGCTGATTGCTTCGTTCTCACTCCTCACAACAACCAGCTAAGACACTGCCAGAGAAACACCCACAGCAGCCCTCCTCCGGCTCCACTTCCTCTTCTGCTGTGGGACGTCAAAATGCTTCTTCCAGTAAGTCTGAGTTGCTCACTGGTTTTGTTGTGGTGTCTATAAAATTCTCACGGATGGTGTTCTGTGCCAGCACCTGGGAAGCCATACAAGAAGAAAGTGAAATAAAAATAAAACTGAGCTGGATCAAAGAGTGAAAAATGCATGACAGCATCAGTTTGGTTTGAAAACAGTTTGTCTATCCTCAGCAACATTACATGGTGCTAATACATTGACGATGGCTCGCTTCACTCCCCACTGTGTGTAGACGCTTGAGGCTAAACGACTTCTTAATAAATGTGCTCAGCGTGGCTTCACTTTTGGTCCAAACATCCCCAAAACTAAGAATAAACCTGCAGTGACTCATGATTCTGTAACAAGAAGGTTGAGACTGATCCCGCTCATCTATTTGTGTGTCCTTCCTCTTGTATCCACAGTACAAGAGCTTTGGTGTATTGCTTACTGTGAGGCTATTTCAGGCCCACTGACCATTCCATACTGTCCTGTCCCCGTGGGCTGTGCTCTGCTGACAAGACAAACACGGATAGTGGGGAGAACTCTGCAGTAGAGGTAACAGAGGAGGGTGGACAAGTGAAGGAGAGCTGTGCATTAGTGTGCTGGGGGTAAGATCACAGGTACATCACAAACAGATGGGATGTTGACCTTGGACAGACGCTCCAGTGTCGGACTGAACTGATTACAAAAAAGTTTATTCCGTTAGCTCTATTATTTGCATTTGTTAAATTGTATAACTACTCACAGATAGTTTCAACAGCAACGTTTCTTCGTCTGGCCAATGCGGCTCTGAATATGATCTGATTTAGTGTTTAGGGGTTTCTACATAAAACATTATTTTAGACTAATTTTTATTTTCAATTTGAATCATATTCTTCCTAAAATACCTATAGAATATGCTAAAAACAGTTAAAGGACAACTTAATGAATCAAAGGCAATAATCAGTAGCTTACTGGATTATTAAAATAATTCTTCGCCGCAGCCAAATGGCAGTTTAAGTAAAGAGACGTTTAAGGCTTATCCATAATCTGACCCCAGCTGTGGAAAGAAATGCAATGTTAAGTTTATGAAATTATTAATTTGTCACGCGTTAACGCTGCGTCTTCAAAACATATAACTACATATTTTTTCCAATTATTTTAATTCTAAAATTAAATTTTAGATATGCTTGTATTCGCAGTAATAAGTTTAGTTGCATCATGTCCTGATGAATGCCTGTGATATCTGATGGATGCTGGTTTGTGTGTGAATGTCGCTCCCTATATTTGGCACATGACAGGATTCCTTCTTAGCGAGAACATCCACAAGACATCTATCAAACACACCAGCACTGCACTCATCGTATCCTCACTGCTTTTGGGGGAATATCAATCAACCAACCAAGTAATTAAAGAGGAACATGCTCTACTTTCTAGAATTATTTATCTATTTTCATTTTTATTTAGTTATTTAGTAGCGACAGTGGATATTAATGAACATCTACAATAAAGCGTAAATATGAAAGATTAAAACAAAATGGGTCATTTCCATTTGTCATCTGTCGGCAGGTAACATAGAAAATATTAAATAAAAGTCATTATTGATGGGTCCAAGACTTTTACAGGAAACAATATGGTTTTAACTAGTGTACACACTAGTGTGCAGCACACACACTAGTGTGCAGCACACACACTGTGTGCAGCACACACACTGTGTGCAGCACACACACTAGTGTGTGCAGCACATAGTGTGTGTGCTGCACTGCTTTAGAATTATATAATGTTCTTTTTAAAATATAGATTCATTATTATTAAAATCAATATTCGTTAATCTGAAGGTGCATAGTGAAACTCAATGGTAAATAGTTTATTTACCATTCTAACATAAACATACATTTTTTTAAAGACTTGATACTCAATGCCAATTTCCATTACTTGGGGGTAATTTAAACATGTTTTTTTGTGCTGCCAAGGTTAGTGTTTATGAGATCCCTTTTTCAGATTGCTATCTGAAATTAGTATCTAGCTGTGATTTCAGTTTTATTGTCCATACTCTTGGCAACCCTATTCAATAGTAGTAAGTGTTTACATCTGGTTCCTGTAGCACCCATAGAGTAGCACCATCGCACTGCCCTGCTGTCAGCTGCAGCACCAGACAGTCATGCTTTCCTGCTCCAAACATAATCATCTTATTTCTAACAATGCAATTAGTATTTACTGTCGAGACTCCATGTTTAAAAGCTTTGATGGTATGCCTATCGGGCGGAGGGGTTCATGTAAACATCTGATCATTCTTTAGTGTTTGTTGTTGCTATAACGTCCTTAATTGTGTTGCATTCTTTTGTTTCAGTTTGACGCCAGACACGAGTGCTTTGTTGGTTGCTCTCAATTTGGATTATCCCCTGGTTACCATTAAACAGAGTTGCTCAGTTACTATCTGCATGCCTGGTGATGCAAAGGTAAAATACACAAGGCAATAACACTATAAGTTTGAATAAAATTGTACAACTGCATGCTGAGTCACTAAATACAAAAAAAAAAACCTTGGCCCCTATTATTCTCTTGTTTGTAATTGATTACAAGCAATCAATGTGACTGTTTTAGTTCAACTTTGTACCTTGCAGTTTCGAATTTACTGAATAACTGTTTACTGCTAGAAACACACTTTTAATTCTTCACATTGATTTGTAGCTTGTTTCCATCCAATATATTTTGTTATCATTACCATGGCATCTCTTTGGAATACTTCCTCAATGAAGTTTAATGACTTTCCTCTCAACTTTGAATGCAAGCTTTTTTTCCTCTCAAGTGGTTGAATTCAGCTTGATGGGATTTGCACGCACTTCAAAAGGTTCCACTTAAATATCCATTTCACTTTGAAATAGCAAACAAATGACTGTCTTAGGCGGAAATGATACAAGTTATGTTTTTATATTCACCACTCACCAGTCATAGCAGTCATCCATCCGTTGGTAGTGACATTGCTTGTAGGTTGTGACGGCTCGCGTTGGTCAGTTCTTGATCAATTCTTCTTGACCACTGGTCTCTGCTGTCTCTCCTCCCTCTTTAAAACTCTTCTCTCCTCAATCAGCCAGTACAAGTCAAGGCATGTCCCAACACGCCACCAACAGCCGGAGCTGGAGCAGGAGCCTGGAGAACACAGAAGAGGGGAGGAGTGAGGACCGGACGAAGGGGGAAGCCCAGAAAAAACCCAGGCAGCAGTGTGTGACTCAGCCCCATCTCCGCTGCTCAGCAAAAAGGGTTAAACACATGTGCCATTGACAAGCGAACCACAGGAAGGACGCAGCGTTTGAGGTAATAAGTAACACAGCAACAGATAAGTATGTACACAAGATAACACAAAGAAATATAGCCTTGTGTTCTTTGTTTAAAAACGTCCTTATATGGTAATAATATAAATTCATACTGATGAATAGGTCTACTTTATGGAAATTTGGTATATAAGCAGTGAAATACCAGTCTAACAGCCTTAAATCCCTTAGACGGTGCTACGAATTGAGTAGAATTGTTTTTTAACGTCACAACGCCGTGTATCCTGGTTTACCATTGCGGGGAAGACAAGAAAAAGGTGAAGCCTCTGGTGTAAATTGAAAACAATGTGCATCTCTTGCTGCTTTGTCATTTCAAGCCAATTCTTAATAGGTAACAAATAATAAATAAATAAAAATAAATGCAGGAAATCTTTGGCATAGTGTGCTTTCAATTATTGAATTACTTTGAATGAATGAATGAGTGAATATTATGTTCAGTTAAAACTAGCCAGTGGAAACGGATGGAACAATATGTATCCCTCTCAAATCAAAGCTGTTGTGCTGATACATCAGATCTTCTTGGAATTGCATTGTAAAAAAATTGAAACATTTGTAAAATATTAATATTTTACAATATACCATGAGCGCTGATGTTAAAGTAGTTTGTACATGCTGCAGTGGAACATTCACCCCATGATGAATGAGCGGTGCATTCTTCTCTTTAGCCAACGATGCTTGAAGCCAGAGGTTGATATTGCCGAATCATCACCTTCAATGAGTGGTAATTATGCAGTTACTCTAATGTAGCTGGATTTTTACGAGAGCAAGGTTCATCATTGCTACAGAGGAAGATGATCACTAGGCAGAATCTAGCTGCAGTGGCAGGATCCAACTCAACAAAACTACTCGCCTGCTTCAGTTTGGCCAGAGACCTGCCGCCTGAGCACCTCTACGGGCACTGAAGTGAGCAGTGTGCTGGTCTCTGCGGCCTGTCAACTCTGATGACCTTATCAATGCGAGCAAAGTCAATGCTGCTCCAACATCAGGGGCTCAAAGCTCTGACCGTGCTTCACCCACAGAATTAAAGAACCATATAAAAGTGCAGTACCCTCCAAATAGTCACGTAAACATATAATTTATATGTTAATATATATATATATATATATATATATATATATATATATATATATATATATATATATATATATATATGGCTACATAGCGTTTAAAAATTACATATATATATGTAATTTTTAAACGTTATGCAGCAGAAAGAGTGCCAGGATTCCAAGAGTTAGCTTTTAATTTATGGAAGCAAGAAGTGTGTGTTTTTGCAGATGGGTGAAAATATATAAGTCACTTGCTCTGAGGAGATTATTCCCTGCTCTTTGTTAATGAAAGGCTCATGTAAAGTTGGTAATACAGTCATTCATCTCTGAGCTGCTGTTGAGGCCTCATATATATTTGTATCAGTTGAATGGAGTGTGTTCCAGGGGGGGTAAGGAAATAGGAAGGAACCCTTGGCCCAGCAAGTTCAAGGCTTGCTGCATTGATTACATCATCAGGACTGTAGCTCGAATGGGACAATGCACCATCAGGGGGTGGGGGGCAACAAACTAATCCCCCTTCTGTGTCCTTTAAAGTTAGTACTGCTTTGTCTAAATACAGGATGTGTGTGTCTGTTCCTCTGAAGTGAGGCTGAGCCTGGGCCTGTGCTGCATCACGTGAGTGAAGACGTCTGTCAGACTCCCAATGAGCACAGTGTGTGAGAGGCCGGCACACTGCAGGAGCTTAGCTGCTGCAGGACACTGCAGGATCGCAGTCTTTTCTCCCTCCTCTTTTCACTCAGGCAAATTGCTCAAGGAGGATGCTGGGAGCATGTGCTGCATACTTTTTAGGAGGGGAGGGTGTGAGGGAGACGAGGAGGGGGGCTTTCAAAGAGGTGCAAAGCATGCTGCTGAAGCGCTGTGCTGGCCAACTGTACCTCAGAGACACTACAGTAGAGAAATTGGAGACAAGAAGGAGGAGGGACAAGGGTAGTTGGGGGGTGGGGGAGGGCAGGAGCGAGGTGCAAGCTACATCAGGTGAGTGCGGCACTTTCCTTTGGCAGGCAGCGCCGCACCACCCCCAGTGAAACTGCAGATGATGTCAGGCCCCAGCGCTGGCTCGAACCTTTAGCACACTCTCTGCTCTGCTCTTGTTTCCTGCTGCAGAGGACAGAGAGTCACAGAGCAGATCTACTCAAACCTCACAAACGTCCAGCTGTGACTCTCAGGCTGCTTATTTTCAAGGTCTTAGCACAGTTACCTGAGATGAACCCGGGGCCAGTGAACTTGCACAATGGCCAAAGTATTAGACTGAGTCTAGAGCTCATTTCATCACTCAGCGGCTGAGCTGTCTTTATTATATCTTTCTTCTGGGCCAACTTGTGATGAATGTACAGTTAACAATTTGATGCTAATATTCATATAAAGAATAATTGTTTCAAGAATCGACTCTATTTACCTTTCGAAATAGACTTGCTTTACTACTTGTAGTAAAGATTTAAAATATCGTGCTGCTGATTTGTTTCTGACAGATTTCCAGATTGCACCAAAGTGTTGCTAGCTGAAGCACAACTTCAGTACTGCACCACAGCCTCACTGTCCCATGCAGGCCTACCCTACCCCATTTCACTTTGTATTCTACAATATGCAGAAGTCCCTACACTGTTACTAGGAACTCAACCAAAGTAAAAGCAGACATGTAAATCAGCATGGGACAGTTTGTTCATACTAAACACAAAATAAAAATTCTAAATCATCTCTTGAGTTTGGTACTTATTCACTTTTTTGGCGAAAGCTATAGTCTTGGCTATCAAACACTGTTCCTAGCCCGTACCATGTGTTAAACATAGATGCAGTGGAGCCTGACCGCTAACTGTCTGGTGAAAGCTGCTGCAGAGGCAGTGATGAGGCAGAAGTGGCCCGAAGCACTGCAGGCATGCTCCCTGCACTAAACCGCCACTACTAATAATAATGTTACAGAAGTGCACTAATCGTAACTAAAAGATGCTAACACCAGGCAGTAAGCATTGTAAAAAAGAATGGCGAGAAAGAAACCATGTACTCACAGAGACCGGAGCGTCAGCCTGCAGAGGGACAGCACCAAACTTCTCTGGACTCACTCTGAGCCTCTCGGATGCTGCTGATGTGCTTTCATGGCGTGGTAAAGTTGACTGCAGCATTGCCTCCTGAACAGAATGACATTGTTTGCGCTCTCTCTCTTTCTCTCTCCCCCCCCTCCCCTCCTGGCTGCTCTCCCCCTCCTCTACAGTGCAGGCTTGCTGGCAGCACAAACTGCACAGCTCAGCAGTGTTCCCCACTGCCGCAGCAGATCCTGCATGAGCTCTGCGTATCTGTGTGGGATGGGACTTTTAAAGGGGAATGCAACCTCCTGGGTCAGCCCATGTGCAGATCCCCAATCCATCCTCCTCTCCGCCCCGTTCTCCTCAGCATCCCCCTCTCGTTTCCTGCTCCACTGACCCCCCACAACCATCATCAGTGTTGCAGACTCCTACAAGAGCCCCCTCCACACACCTCAGCCACAGCTATTCATTTTCACACACCAGCAAATCTCTTCTGAGACATGAATGAAAGCACTTCCAGACTCTGAGGTTGAACAGCTTGATAGTGTCTTTATTGTCTCTGCATGTAATAATTAAAAAATATTTTATTTGCAAAATAAAATATAATGTTGAGGTCAACATTATCTTATAAGTCATAACATTTCTTCTAAAAAGTTGCAAAAGCATATGTATCTCTTACATACAGTACCAATCATGTGCATCTCTCCTAATGTAGAAATATTTCGACCAACCCAATTGGTCCTGAACTCTGTACAGCTCTGTGTACAGAGATAATCCATCATTTAGTCATCAAAGAGCTTAAACTTCACTTTCTGCTGTTTTATCACTTCAGGAGACTACTCTTGAACCCACAAAATCATTTCTTGTGTTGACATATTGCTGCATGAGCTAAGATTGTGATTTTTGCTCTATTATAAAGGAGCAATGTTTGAAGCATTACCCTCTTGACTGCATGTTGCAGCAGTGCAGTAAAGCCCTCCACTGCTGCAGAACTGGGGCTTTCTAATTGACTGCTGAGCTACTCTCACATTGTGGTCCCTTGTCCTCTGAAAGTAAGAAATCTTTGGTCAGAGATGATAATGTTAAGATCATATTGCTTTAGATACAACACTTGATTGTTGTTCCTTTTATATTTGTTTACAGGCCCCATAAAAGGTTTTCTGGGTCTGCAGTACATTTGAAGTATTTGCTTCTGGGGATATATGGACAGTGCTTGTATAGGCTCAGTGTCAGTGTATTTCACATAGAGTCTTCTGGTGTTGAAAGAGGTGTAGATTGCTGCATGTGTGACCTGACCTGCATGCGGCGGTGCTGCATCCGGCTGAGCATCAGTTCGCTCTGCACTCAGTGACTCCAGTAAAATGCTCCCACCAGCAGATCCCGCACAAGGGCCACTGCGTTCACAGTAATGGCATCCCCAGTGATGAATAAGGCATGAGGAGAGGCCCTTTTACATGTCCTATTAGATTACCTAAAGCTAAGTTTTACCTGCCGACTGTCACCGTATTGCCGCTGGCTTCTTATCTTCCTAATATGATGTTTTTATAATAGAACAAGGGCAGGGAGCGCAAATGATCATAGATGCCACATTGATCATATTAGCACACTAAGTTAAGTATTTTGAAAAAAATAAAAATAAATAAATAGTAGACTTTATCATATTTCAGATATTATTTGTCTTCCAAAGGTATCCTGTTGAGTTGCTGATGGGTTACATCTTGAATTTACTTTACACAGTAAGTCAATTCAAACCAAATAAGTTGATGTAAGAAAATTTAGCCTTGATTTATTCCTAATTGTTTGTCATAAATATGTAGAGAGAAAGAGAAAAAAATGTGACAGGTTTAGCCAGAGCTAGTTTTCCATTTGCAGAATTTGTCTAGCCAATTTGATATTATTATTTTTTAAAAACACTGTCAAATCTGGATTTATTGACCAGACAATCCACTGACAAGGTACACGGACAAATGTGTCACTGCAGGTCCTTGTCAACTGCTGAAGTCGAAAGGTAGAATTGAAACATGATCATGTTCTGATGTCTGACCACAAACAAATAATGAAGGTGTGTGAACGAGTGCCCATCTTTTTGCCATTCGCAGCTTATTCCTTGCCTTCATTGATTTGTCCGGAGAAGATAATAGACACATTCACTCTGATGGCTCAGCAACTTGGTTTACTCATCAATCGAGACTAATTCTCTAGAACTCAAGTATTTCTTGCTTGTCCATTACTTTTTTTCCCCCTGCAGGATCTGCTCTGTAATTTACAAATGGCCATGATGGCATCAATAGGTTTAATGCTATTGTCAAATCCACAATATTCAACATGAAGGCAGTTCATGCCCTGAAACTGAGAAGACAAGTGAAAGCAAAGGGAAGTGAAAAAGATTATAGTAGGGGTTAGTATAGTATAGTATGTATAATTTAATTAATAGTTGTGAATTGGATTTGACATGATTTTTGTATCCAAACGATGCAGCGGTAGAGTCTACAGCAGATTGAAATGATGAAGCTTATGGACGTGTCAGCTGTGCGTGTCAGCATCAACCTGTCTGCTCCTTGCTCTCGAACACAATGTGGAGATCCGCCACTGCCGCGAGGAGCACCAAGGAAAACCTATTCCTTTTCAGAACAGCAGAAAGTGAGCTACACCAGTGTATTGACAAATATATTGACATTGAAAATATGAGCAAAGTCTATCATAAAACAACAACAAGCGTCTGACTAAGGCAACAATCCTAATTTAAAATATTTCAGAAATTTAGCTCATCTATAGCTCTAATCTACTATATGTACAGTATGTAGCGGTTTCCTCTGCAGAGATGGCAAGCTGTTCTTATGTTGCATGGCAGTTGTTTCAGGTTTATGCAGGGCAGCAGCAGATCGTCTAAAGCAGTGCTTGTCATCATAAAGTGTGCCTTGACTCCTGGCCCGCACTTTACTACTGCAGTTTGTGACCGTAACACACAGCTCCAGCACAAGCAGGAACAATGACGTCTTTTTGGCTGATGTCTGTCTGCTTCTTTTGTGGACTGAGACTATTCACTACACACTCTTTTCATGAGTCTTTTGATCAAAACAAGATAAATATTCTTTACCCCAACATTAGTACTGTGCCAATACTAAAACCGTTCACATTTGAGAAAAGCAAAAATGATCTTATTGTGAAGTTCTTTGTGTGACCTTGGTCTAAAAAAATATGCTGTATAAATAAAGATTACATGCTCACTTACTAACCATTGTATAGTTTCAGTGGGTTAAATAGTGACACTTACCAGGACATAAAATACAGGGCTTTCAATCTCAAATGCAACACAAAAACAGTTATAAGTTACAAACACATTTTAGATAATAAGATTTATACATATTTAATCACTCTGATCACCAAAACATTTGATTGCACTCTTCTAAAGCCTAGATTATTTGATCTCAGACAAAGATACAATTTAGCTTTGATATTTCTTCAAGAATAAAACGTGCAGCATGTTGTGTTTAGTCTGTTTATTCCAGGAAGTTAACAATGCTGTATTTATAGTTGAACTTTGATGACGTCTTTTTGCTGATCCAATCATTAAAGACTGTATTATTTGTAACAGAATTACACAGTGAAGCTTTGGAGTAGCAGCATCCGCGTTTAACCGGCCTGATTAGTTAAACACATTTACCATGTAAATGAGACAAAGATTGTTAATTGAAATGATAATCAGAGTTTAGAATAATTTCTTCATCTCCCCCTGCAGGTCTCCCATTCCCACCTGGGACCCCTCCTCAGAGGTGTGTGCTGATCGCCTTGTGTTTTAGCAGCAATGCACCATTCAAGCCCTGCAGGCAACTTGACAAACGAGCCGCGATGTGAACAGAGGGGGATGCTCGTACTGCAGCACATCCTGTCCCATCCGCTTCCCCCCCGTCCTGCAGTGGTGCACCTTTTCAAACCCAATCTGCTGCTCCAGCCCACAGTGGTAATCACAACACTCACATAATGCAAGCACAGGCAAACAAATATGCATATACATACACAAAAATAGACATTCATAAATATAAAAATGCACATGAAGTTCAAGGTTGCCGTTTGTGGCAATGCCAGGATAATGTTTTGTTATTGCAATTAGTTTTTGAAATGCAAAACGATAAATGAAAAAGTCAAGGTAAAAGAAAAATGACTTTGAATGAATAATTTATATCTTAATAGTATTCATAAATAAAAAGTCTACACAATTGCCTTTAGAAAAGAATAGAATTACTTTATTGTCTGTCATTCAAAATTTGTCTGTGGCGTAAAACGTATAATCTATATTTTTTAATTGATAAAATATGGACAATTACATGTTTAATGTAATGTTTTATTTAATTGATAATGATTACATGATACATCCATATTATGCCAGGCAAGGAGGCTTTTGATAAAGTTCAGTTATTTGACCTGTCTTTCACTTAAAATACAGAAAAGATGTGCGTTTTTTTCTCAATTCTAGCACTGCGCAGTATAACTCTTGTGAACATAAACCACTTTGCTGCTGATCTGATCTTCTGTCTTCCTCGTCCACAACTACACTTTCCACTTGAGGACAGCAGCCATCCACCCACAAACTGCATCCCAGCACAGGGTCTGACGCAGCACGCGATCATTCACCTTGGCTGCCTGCTCCACTCTCCCTTAACTTGGCACAGCTGTCCACACCCCCACCACCCCCCTCCATTGGCTCATTCCCCCCATCCCAACAGCAGGAGTAGGCAGTGAGTGGAGCGTACTATCGATCCTGCTGAAATGATGGTTTCTAAAAGGGAGGCAGTAAGCATGTCTGCGCTCCCCTCCTCCGCTGTACAAGGGGTCCCTGAGATATCACCCAGCTCAGCATATTGCGCCATTGCTGCATGGGAAAATGGGATTTTTTTTGTCCAGCAGATGAGCTGAGGGGAAGGTAATTCTAGTAGCCGAGATATGTACTCTATCAAGGTTGTAAAACGAGCCGTCCAGTGACACAGTGGACAAATAAGGTCATTTATATTATATATTTATTCAATTCACAGATGTATGATAGTCAGTCGTAGTCAATGTAAAGTTTAAAGTAAAGAGAATTAAACTCTCTGAATTTGTTCACAGTCATTTTAATGCAGAATTATAAATGATTCAATTCTATATATTGAATCGATGGCAAGAAGATTTTCTAGTATGAGGCTCAAATCATGTGATGTGTGCATTAGAAACCACTAGATGGAGACAGTTCATTAGGTTTAACTGAAGGCCTGGCTGAAATACGTTGGAGAGACTGGAGGAGGGTTTGTCTAAGAAAAAGGGACAATGAAAGCTCTACAGCAGGAATAAGAACTCAAAGATCAGCATATGTAGACTTTATTAATTTAGAATTGAGTTTCATTGTTCTGAGTTTTATTGTAGAGTGTGGTTAAGGATTTAGTTAGTGTATCCCAACCTTTTTGTAGCCGTGGCACACCTTTTTGGTTGAAAACACTCACATGGCACACCACCGGCTGAAACTGATACAAACATGAAACTTTGCAGCTTTTAGTATGAAAGCAAAGTCATTCTAATCAAGGTAGATATATATAGAAAATGAAATGAGCTCAAAAAGTCTTTCCAATCTTCTCACATAATTTTCTTTTCACATTATTTTGACCAATTATGTGATATTGGAATATTTCCCAAGGCACACCAAAGAACATCTCAAGGCACACTAATGTACCACGGCACACTAGTTTAAAAACACTGAGTTATGTGACGTGAAATTACTTATTACTTATTTCATTCAAAGATGAAATTTCATTCATAGAATGTGGATGTGTGAAATTTTGGTGGAATGGAAGCGCTTTGAAAAATCAGTTACAGAGCTTAGTTCTAACTCTGTATTAACACATGTTTGTGCTGAAATGGTCCAGCAGCTTCAAAATAGAGTTAATGCATGAGAAATCCCCTTCGTCTTGAATGAGGCCTTGTGTGTGAGTGTTATTGAAGAGTTCAGCTATGCAGCTAGTTTATGTCTCTATGAGGTCAAACTGTTCACAAAGAATCCTAACTGGACTTTTCCTTTTTAATCATCTGTAACATTTACCTTTTTTGTACCCTACTGAATATTGCCACTTAGTGTACAGTAGATGTAGGCAGATATTGATACTAGTGCAATTCATCAAAAAATTATGAAAGCAAGAAGCAGGAAGAAAAAATCCATGGACACAGCAATGATCTCTCCCTCAGACTCTACCTCAGTGAGTAACAAGAAGACTATTTTTCAAGCATCTTCAGTCTGTTTATGCCATTTGTGCTCCTTAATCAGTCCTGAAGGTCAAACCAACAACAGGCTT